CACTAAATAAAATGATAGAAGTGGAGAGTTAAAACAGAAGTTTTCTTATCTGGAGTTAGGTTAAGATTATGAATTTAAGAACTGTTGTTCCGTAATAGCTTCTGTCCTAAATTCAGTCTTAACTGAATTTTCATGTTGACTGAACTGATTGTTTCAGTCAAGAAGTTTCTGTAATACGGCCCCAGGTTGTTATATTTTAGTCTTTGTTACACTTTTGGAGAGCTGTTTGTTGTGCATTAATGTGCCCACACACTAGAAACAACATCAGAAATGCAACTAAATGTAGCTGCATGCCTTTGCATCTACAATTAGTCCTTTTGTTGTCTAGTATGCAGACAGCCTTTGTCTTATCACTGTTGTGTTTTAATTAATGAGTTTGCTAGCTGTATACAAGTTACAGATTTAATTATGCCTGATCAGACTAAAGTGTTAGTTGTGCTGGTGTGGTCTGAACAGGTGAGTCATATGGGCCTTCCCCTGTGAGTGGGGGTGCACCCTCTCCCCCTTTAATGATAGAGGGTCCTGGACGTCCCCCCTCTGCTCCAGTGGGGCGAAGGAATGAACCCTTTGGTGAGTTGTATTTCCTCATTATTGTCTTTAGAGCCCATGTTTTAATTCCCCCCCCCACACACTTTGCACCCCGCTCCAGATCATTGTGAGTCCAAAATGGAAAAAAGTCAGGTATAGTCAGCATGTGTGCTCCTCCCCCCCCCATCTTTCCAGGCCCACGACCTCCTTCTGACCCACATGGACGCTTCTCTGACCTTGGACATCCGCTGCCTTCTCGACCAGGTATGCAGATGTGTTCTACGTTAACCCTTGTGAGAAGACCCATCATGTGAAATGGAAAGTTACATAAAGTGTATTGTCTTTTTAGAGTTGTTTGCCCCTCGCACCTCTTCTCCTTGCACCCAGGATGGATCCGTAAGTATACTAGTAAACTCTTGGTAGTGTGTCCTTTTCTGAAAACTTTCTATGTTATGTGTAATGTTATGAGTGTATTTACTTTGTATCTCTAACTTTTTTTTTATGGGGAAACGATCAAGGCATTACCCCATAGTCACTATATGTATATTTATTATTTTTCTGGGGATAGACAGTCCCAGCTGATGTAAAAACTGAGGCTTCAACGCAGGCCTCCACTGATACTACAGAGGCAGTGAGTACAGCACTAGGATGTTGGGATGTGAAAGAGGTGAATGGATGTACAGCATAGGCTTGTGCACAATCAGAAGCTCCCTTCTAACAGGTTGCTGGTCACACTTGTTGTGGATGTCTTTGCAAACTTACCTGCCTTTTTAATTGAAGCTGAAAGAGATTGAGTTTTGACTGGGCTTTTTGTGCAGCATACACAACTTCTGTTATGTGTTGATTGTGACTGCTCCATCTGCCTAGACAGTAAATTCTTTTTACTGAAGCTTGTGGGATGGCTAACAAAACTCACTGTAGTAAGACTCCTGCGAGCAATTATGTGCATGGCTGAAGGTGTTTGTGTGCTCAGTTTAGCTTTTAGACAAAGCAGACACAATATGAAGAGATTTGAGGTACTTTTGTTTTTGTTTTTATTTTCAGCTCTCAAAGTCTCAGAGCCAGGGATCATTTCTCCCATCTCCTATCAAGGATTCTCCTGGCCCAACCTTTAGTGCCCCTTTAAAGGCTTATGGCCCACCACCCATGGCTGGACCACTTCCACCTTCATCTAATGGTCCACTTCCTTCAATGGTCAGACCACCTAATGGCCATCCACCTATGATTCCTCCTGGGCCTCCTCTTGGACCTGACCCACGCCTAAAACTGCCTCACTTGGATTCCTATGGACCTTCTCCTCTGCGCCCATTTGGACCTGTCCCTCCTCCCTTTGGTAAGAGCTGTTCACATGCTCCACATTAAGGCCTTGTCCACATTAATGCACATGGGTTAAAAAATGACAGCTTGAAGTTTTTTACATAATTTTGAAAGTTTTCCATCCACAATGAAATGTTAAAATAATTGGAGAAACTTCTGTACTAAAAGTGCCTTCTCTGAGTACATGTTTCTTGGATCAGTAAGTTAATGCCATTTACGCCAAGTGATTTGTTGTGGCCAGTGTACACTTTGGTCAGGATTGTTTCCTTTATCCACACCACAGAGTGAAAATGATGTTTGCAGGTTAGCCATGTAGAGCATTTTCAAAATGTTGCATTTTCAATGGTTTTATTGAAAGTTTTATTGCATCATTAGTTTTGTTGTAGACAGAAGTGAGACCCCCCCCCACCTCCCAAATGTTTCCACTGAAGTGTGGACAAAGCTGAAAGGGGAAATTCGGGATTTTAAAACATTAAAAAAAAAAATTCTTACCCCAACCCTTTTTTTTTTTTTTTCTTTTTAATAGTATGCGGACCGCCTCCAAGAGATCTCCCTCCCATGGGACCGCCTCCACCACCATATAGTACACATGATTTCCCACTTGACTTTGCCGGACCTCGTAACTTGCCTTTCCCTTCTCGACCTTTCCCCCCTGGCTCTCTTCCTCCTCCTGGAGCCATGGTTCCACCTCAGTTTGGTGCCAGGGACTTGCATGGAACCACTCCACCTATGGCTCAGTCCTCCAGGGATGGCGAGATGACCCAGGCAACTGGTCATGATAGAGATATCTCATCTCCACAGGGGGCTGCACAGGACACAGCCACTTCTGCAGTGGTTGAGCCTTGAACCAGCAACCATTGCCAATCAAGGCCACCTGCCCATTACTGAACTTCATCTTGTTGTTTTCTTGTGTTTAACAGCATTTGAAATTCCTTAAATATAATTTATACATTAAAGCATCCAAAAAGCCACATCATACCTTCATATTTCAATGTGGCCAGGGTGGGGGACCCAAAAAGTTTTGCCACTCTTGCTCCAGTATACTGTGCAATAACATTTCTATTTTACATAGGTGTTTTTGTTTGTTTTTTTTGTTTTTTTCTAAGTTTGTAAAAGCAAAAAACCTTTCCTATGGAAACATTACAAATTTTTGAATAGAGAAAAATTCGGCCATATTGTTTTGCAGGTAACATGAACTACTCGCCCAGTGCTGTTGCTTCATAGTGAATTTGGTAGGGTAAGTTGTGTTTTAGAGACTGAATAACTTATCATGCCTTTTGACTTAAGATAGGTAGAACAAAATTATATTTGATGTCCTTAATGTGGGAAAAATAGGACCTCTGGCTGTTTTTCCCAATTAATGAACAAATGCTTCATTGATTTGTTGCTCATGTTCTTCAGAAATGCTGTTTAAATCAGACAGTGCATTGAAAAGACAAATTGCCAAATCATTCTGGTTGACAAGGATTATTCATCAGGTCATCTGTTGTAAAGCCTAAGTATTGTTCTTATGATTTTCTTTTCCTAGTGAAAAGACTCACTTGCTGTCATATTGACAAAGTATTTGTACATTTCCCTGACCTGTGTATAATAAAATGTTATGAATAAAACCAGAAATTTTACATAGACATGCAGTACAGTAAGCGTCAGGAATAAATTAATTGTGCCTGTGCTTGATTTTGTGCTAGACCTGTTATCTTTGCAGCACAAGTGAACTATAAAAGGAATATCCTCATACAGTACTTGCATAGCATCATAACGCAGAGCTCATACGGGCAATGAAGCTTTCTGTATTGTTGATTTGTTTTAATAGGGGCATTCTAATTTCAGTTGTTGGGACAGTTCTTCCTTGTCTACCACACCCTTAAGTGAATTTATCCAGGGTAATTGTCAATTTCTCTACAGGGCAACTACTTAGAATGAAGTGGTAACAAAGAATTGAATAAAAATATTTTTATCTGTAGAGGTGTGATCATATAGAAAGTCTAAAATCCTAATGAAATTGAACTTGAAAGTGCTGAATTAAACAAGCTGTTTTCAACCGTATGTGTGCCATGTACATTTTTGATGTAATTTGTTTTATGTAGCTTAAATGTGAGCTATTATCTAAGTTTTTCCATTAATTTTCAATCACATTTTACTTAGCGTTCAAATCTCTATGTCCTGTGGAAATTTCGAGCTTAACTGTCTTAAGTCTTTGTTTAGTAAATTAATTTTTCAGCATTTGTGCAAGGCTAGTTTTGTTACCCAGTATATGGGGGTTTCTGTAATTGTAATTTTAAATTCTACACACTGGCATAATTCTATGGGATAATTCATTAAATATGCAGGTCTCAAGCAGCATTTATTAGAAGTTAAAGCAATGGGAAACCACTCCATGACAGTCATTACCTGCATTTAAAATTTTATGAAGTCCTCACAGAAAAACAGTACATGCACATTGTATGTATAGTGTCAAGAATTTCTGTGACAATTGAAAAGTCCTGAATTATGAACATAGGAGGAAGTAAAATATTACTTGTAAACTCTAATAGCATGTGGACATTTATTTTCATGCAGCCCTGTGTAATATTCTTTTAATTGAAAGTGTAAAATAAACGGTCCCACAACAAATATACAGATAAATGACAAAGGAAAAGCCTGATTAAATGACTCTTGAGAAACACAATGCTTCTGCAGATGTACCGCATGATTCAGTTAAGCACTAAGCATCCTACTGTACTCTGGGGCATGTGTAAAAATGCTAGAAATTATGCATTTTGGATCAACATTACAAAAAGAAAATATTTAAGTGACTTAAAAAATCTGGGATACGGATGGCAGGAGCATCAATCACAAAAACTGGCCATTGTTTCAGTAGGAACAGTGACTACAGTTTCATCTGAAAGACATCAGCAACAGGGCTGACATTTGTGGTCTAAAGCATACATTACGTGATTATAATGCGTTTGCATTAGTGTTATTTATGTAAGGAAAAACTGAACAGCAGCTGTTTCTCAGGTGACTAAGAATTGCAACATATAACTTGTTCAGACTGTGTAAGCAAGAACAGTTTGTCCAAAGCTACACAGATAGGGTATTCTAGTAGTGCATAAAACCTCTTGTTACAAAAACAAATAAATATTTGGAAATGCAGAAAAAGTCATGTGGCCAGGTGAGTCATCCATCAATTTATTTTCCACAAGATGGAGAGTGCATGTGTGGCACACACCAAGAGAATGGAACAGGCCTGAATGCTGGACCCCTATAGAGAGGAGGCACTTTTATGCATCGGGGGCATTTTGCTGGCACAGGTCAATTGTCCCTTAAAAGGGTCACTGCAAATCAACAAAAATTTGTTATGACTAATTTCCTTGTATGCCATGTTAAAACATTTCTATCCTGTTGAGAGTGGTCTCTTCCAGGGCAACAATGCCTCCATTTACAGGACATCAGGGGTCAATGAATTATTTGATAATGAAAATGATGTACAATCACATGCTATGGCCTTCAGTCACCAGATTGCAGCTCGATTGAACACTTACGAAAGATTTTGATCACTCTTCACAATCATGATCAATAAAGAACTTGAGGGAATATCTTTTAGAAGAATGGTCTTTCATCCCTTCAGTACAGTTTCAGAGACTTGTAGAATCTATGCCGTGGCACCTTGAAGCTGTTCTGGCGACACATTACTAAAACACTTCATGTTGCTTTTTCCATCAATTTGTCACTTGTCTGTAACTTATAACGTAGAATCTCCTACTTGGACATTATAAATGGAGGAAAACGCTGACTTCAGTTTAACTACACCTTTTAGTTCTACTGAAGCCCATTCCTTTATATAGTCTACTGGCTTTTTTAACTTATTGCACATCTCATATTACTGTCAATTGGTGGGACATAACGTGTCATTTATTAAAATGTTTCATCCATAGAATAGTAATACTTGGCAGTGAAACACTTCTTGTATTAGATTGCTGGTATGCAGATATTTACCTATGGATCACATTTTTTGCTGTGTAGCCTTCCATCAGGAAGTTAAAGAGTAAAGCCTTGGAGCAATATGGGGTCTGAAGTCATTAAAAGCATTACATGTACACTTCATGAAAGTGGTTCTGTTTTAACCTCAGAACACATGGCTGAATTAATCCTATCTCTTCAATCAGATGACAGTGGTCCATTGTCATTGGATAAATATGCGGTCAGTGCGTATCTTGTCAGATTTAAAAAGGCCAATGTCAGTGTCCTCTTTGATTCTTTAGTGGTAGCTTTAAAGGACTAGGGGTGAGATAGTAAAAAACATGGAAAGATGACATACTTGTTCCCAGTGGCCTTTCTCTCTCTTTTATTGGATGGACACTTAGATGTGAAGTATTGTGATATAAGCCTATGTCTGAAATTCCAAAGCTGAAAACCCAGAAGTCTGGAATCCAGAGTTTGGTATTGCTGTGAAGGTAGAGAGATGCACCAACTTTAATCAGATAACAAAAAGGCTGGCAAGTGGGCGAAAAAAAAACTGTTGTCCCTTCGTGTCAAAGTCTGATGAAGGTTTGTCCATGTGCCTGCTCAGTCTTTGTGCAAAGTCTGATGAAGGTGAAGGTAGAGAGGTTTCTTTGTAAGGAGGTTGAGTTTCTTCCTCTTGAAGTCAGTTGGCTTCTTGTACCTGAGATCACAGATCACAATCTGTATCAACAAAAACTATTAAAAGACACAGCATACTAGAGTGATCCACAAAGCAGGATTACTTAGTTAGCCAAATAGCATAACCAGTGCCAAGTCTGGTATATAGAAGACAAGGTAAGGGACATTCTTCTTGGACAAGGTTATCCAGCATCCTGAGAAATGTGTTACGAAATACTCTGCATATATTGTGGCATTCACAACTTCTTAGGAACAGACAAAATGCTTATGCATAGTGACATTTTACAATATGATCAGAACTGTGCAAAAGTCAGAGACCACATTTCATTTATTTTTATTTCCAGTACAAGTTATTCATTTTTCAGCATCAAACAATAAAGCAGAAAACACATTTAATGGAACCTCAACTAAATATAATATATAATTTTATTTTATAAATTTTGTGCTCACGCTTTGCTTTTATTTCAGCATTTCCATGAAATCTACAGGAATATTTTTTCACACCTCCAAAGTTCAGTCTTAGAAGTTGGTTTTATTTTATGATTCTCACAATCTAAGTAATACCAAACTCATGTAATGCTTCTGGGGTGGCCAGTCTAGTGTTCTCAAAACACCAGTAGCTTCTGCAAATTATCTTTTTGTGTATTTTCTTGTCTCAATAACCACTGTTTTGACAGCTGCATATCCTTTCAGACCCATAGCACTGAGCTGTCTTCTCACAATGGCAAGATGAACAGAAACACCTGTGGATTTCAGATCTGAAGTATGGAATGAATTTCTCCTATCTCTCAAAGATGAAGTCAAGTCAAAGTTTATTTATATAGCGCTTTTTACAACAGGTGTTGTCACAAAGCAGCTTTACAGAAAAATCTGGGTCCAAGCCCCCATGAGCAAGCCAATGGTGACAGTGGCAAGGAAAAACTCCCTAAGAGCAAGAGGAAGAAACCTTGAGAGGAACCAAGACTCAAAAGAGGAACCCATCCTCCTCTGGTTGACACCGGATAGCAAACAGCATTAGTATAAAAAGCTTTATGTATTGTATATCTGAGGGTGACTGTTTTAGTGGTCTACCAGGTCTTGCATGGGGAATGTAATTTTTTTCTCTAATCTTTTTTTTTTAAATTCATTTTCCTTTTACTTTCACACATATGAAAAATTAATAACCTGACCTTAGTTGCTGTTTTTACTGGAAATTACATTAATGAAGGGTGATCTCTGACTTTTGCACAATATTGTACATATACTTGATCGATTTGTCGGTGACCCTCATTTACAATGTAGTTAAGCCAATGCAGAAATCAAGGATTGAAAAATTTTGACTGTAAAAACATAACAAATGCTAAAAAAATGTATAACAGTAAACTTAATAGAAAAAGAATCAAATCAGAATAAACCGTTAAAATAAAACTGCTTGATAAATAACAAATCAAATAGGGATAAAATAATACAAACAGTTTATGAAACAAATAAAATAGAAACTGTAAAACACTAACTCAGCAGTAAATAAAAACTAAAAGATGACAAAATAATTCAAAAGAATATTAAATGTACAACAACAACACCTACCAAATTAAAAGTTAACTAAAATCAAACAAAACAATTGCAGGCGGAGTGGATGTGGTTACAGATTAAAAGTTTGAAATGTTCACATAAGATCAGCGAGTAAGGTTGTAGAGCTTCCTGTAATGAATTCCAGCTTACTGTAGCTAAAAGCAGATTTTTCCAGTTTAGTAAAAGCTCTTGGCACCTGAAGAGTAATCCAATCACTGAAACAAGTCTGATAAAATGCATTATTTACACTGAGCATTTTTGTGATGTACAATGGCATATGGTCAGTAAGCGCTTTATAGATAAAAAGAAGCCAACACACAGCCAGAAGTGACCAGCTAACTTTTTCATACAGTATATAGTGATGGGTACTGTAGGGGTCACCAGTAAGGAAAGCAGAGTGAAATACAGAGTTTAAAGATTTGAGAGTTGTTCGAGGTGTATTTAGAAGAGTAACTTTATAAAAGAAGGCAACAACACTCTTAACGTTGAGTATAAGTTGATATTGTAGTGTTTGAAGTACCCTGTGTGCTCCGTTTTGCAGGGGTTAGGAATGTTTAAATTAAGGGGCCCCCTGGTCCAAAGCCCCATAGGGAGTAGGCCTCTCACTTTCTCCCTTCTTCTCTTAGTTCCAAATAGATGAGATCATTTTAAAAAGAACCATATGCTCTGTCTCCTGTTTCAACAACAAGAACCATATATAAGCACCTGGAATATTCTGTTCTGGAGAGGACACTTAGAATTGGCATGGATCCTCTCTCAGGTACTTTATAGTGCTTGATATGATACTGTTTTACTATGTAATAAACATCTTATGCGAAGAACACAGTGTCAGCGCAGTTTTCCTTCATCATCTTCACATCATTGCTACCTAATAGACAACATTTTTGGCGTTATGATCAGGATTGCGGACGACAACATTTTTGGCGTCACGAACTTCAGACGTGTTGTGGCTGGCTGCGTCGCCAACAGCCTCAGCGCACTTACTCCCGCTCCAGGCCGGCTATTCAGGTGAGCGCTGGTTTTTTTCGTTGAGGCTGTTGGGTGTTTGCTGTCTAGTTGCACCGTAAAGAATCTTGTGTGTGTGAGCCATGCTGTGTTGATGTTTGGAGTGCTTCTCCGTTCTAAATTGGGGTTTATTGCGTTGTGCACGCCGCAATAAAAAGGGGGAGTATTATAGAGAAAAGGAAAGCTGATATAAAAGTGTAGAATAGCCTAATAAGTAACAATAAAGTGAGCTAAATAACACCATGCGAGACTAATGAAGGTTGGGCCCTTATCTTCTTAACGGTAAGACGTGTATATTAGTCACTGCGTGAAAGTTGGCTTAGAGAAGTAGTCAGATTAGGTTAAAAAGGGGGAAAAAGAAGTGAAAAGTAACAGCCCAGGGCCCTGGGGAAATTAGATTAAGGGGAAATTAGATTAATGGGAAAAAAGGGCCTAAACATGGGCCTAAAATCCTGGAAAATCACTAGGTGAATTTCGGGTCAGTTCTAAGGAACTGGAGGTGTGGAATGGAAAGTTCAATTGTAAAGTTCCCATTCAAACACTAGTTGATGAACAGTGTGTGAAGTAGCTTTTTATTGAATATTCACACCTCATAACGGTAGCATAAATTTAGAAGAAAAAGAGAAAAAAGGAGCGGCAGGAAAAAGCATGCTATAGGATAAATGTTGTTCTTTGTCTTCTGTGTTTTCTGAGCTCGCTGTGTGCTTCTGTGTGAGGGGGATTGGCCCCCCCTTACTGTGTGTGTATGTGGACCTGGGTTCTGTGTGTGAGTTGCTTGTCTTGGCAGTGCTCCAGCTGTGTGACTGGCTTTAGGAATGTATAAATGATAATGTGTAAAAGTATATGAACCTCTACGAGAGGGCATTTCTTTGATACCGTTAACATCATGAGCTTTCCTGGGGGACATTTTTGGATTTAAGATTTAAGATAAAGTTAAGATTTATGAGCCTCAAAAAGAATAAGAAATTTCTTTATTGATGATAATTTGGTGTTTAAAGGAGGAAAACAGTTGTTATAGATAAAAATGACCTAAGTTTTGGTAGATAAAGGGTGTAAATCATATTGGATTGCTTTTGTGTGGTTAAAAAATACCTAGTGGGTTCATTTGATACTTAATTCTGATTTGTTTCTACGTTTATCCACCTATGGGGTGTGTGAGAATTGGAGAGGAGAAAGAGGGAGAAAAAAATTAGAAGAAGAATAACAGAAAGAGGGAGAAAAAGAAATGATGAGGGAAGAGAGAGAGAGAGAGAGAAGAGAGAGGAAGCAGCAGGCCAGTGCTGACACGGAGTGAGGTCTGATGATTTAGGAGGCAAAGGGGTCAGCTCATGTTGCAAGGGGGTAAGTTGCTGAAGGTAAAGAAGAGAGGAGATGTTGAAGGCTCAAGGGAGCCAGAAGAGAATGTGTGGAGAGAGGGTTATATAACTTGTAAGGTAGTAGTTGTGATAGAAGATTTGAGTTCTTCTGGGAGTTTTCATGGTCGCTAAAAAAGTTCAGGAACGATTCACCACAGCAACCACTCCAAGGGTGAATATTACATCGATGAAGCTCACTACTTTAGCTCCGGAAACAACTAAGAATGTTAATACATCAATTCAGGCTATTACTTTAGCTACGATTTTGAAGGGGATGAATGCTACTACAGGGAAGGTGCGAACTTCTCCATTTGTTACTTCTGGAAATATTACAAGTGAGGTTGGACTAAGGGCAACCTTTGCTAATAAAATAGTGACAACATGTCTGTCGCCTAGGAAATTTGTAAATTTGTAAACACAGACACCTGGTATGACATTTTTTAACTTTAAAGAAGGAGTAAATATAACCCAGAAACCTATGTTAAAAATAGAGCTTAGTGTGAATAGTAGTAAGGAGATTTTTGAACCTAGAGAACAGAAGGTGGAAGAGCATGATGCAGATTCATCTGTGACAGCTCAGAAGACTATTTTAGATGTGGAAGAGGGTTTTTTTGACTTTGACTGGACACCAGAGGACATGACTAACCATTATCGTGTATTACAGAAGAGAGAAACTAAGTGGAAGGCATATGGATTTGATTCCTAGGGGTTACAAATCGCAGACCCATGGGCAGGTAGGAACTTATGGTTCCAGCAGTTAATTCATTCTGTAAGATCGGTTAGGAAGCAGAATTGTCCATTTGTGGTGAAAGTTCCAACACCAGGCACATGGCCTTCAATTTTAGAGAGGTACCAGAACCATTAAGTGCTAAATATCAATCATATGCATTATAGTGGCTGTTGTATCAGCAGCAATCAGCAGAGGATAAGGTGATGGCTCTGTCAGCGCATCTGTTTAGAAAAAAATTAGAAGAACATAATTGTTCTTGGTTGGGAGAGTTACCATATGTGAATTTACTTGATCAGTGTAACATGACAGAACCACTTAGACGCTTGCGGATAGAGAGACCGAGGAGGCTTTACTGCTTGAATCATCAATCAAAATCGTTGTCAGGAAACAGGCACAGGTCAAATCCAGAAAGGGCAGCAAGTAAAGAAACATAACAACAGGCAAAAACAATCCAAAAGGGGTCAGGCAAAAACGGGTGAGTCAAAATACAGATGAATAGTCAAAACTAGAAAGCACAACACAGGAAATAAAAGCTCAGTAGCTCCAGAAAGAAGCAATACCTCGCACTGAACTGTTCTAAAAGCCCAGGTTTTATACTGAAGCTGGTGAGAGGTCACAGGTGTAATAGATCAGTACTCAGGAGTCATGTGATCTCCCAGAGGATTCTGTGAGATGGAGTCCAGGGAAACCTCTGAGCCATAGGGATGCATGACAATCAGTAGGAAAATATGATAACAGCGATCCCTGATCCGTTGGAAGGAAATCTGGGGGTTTGTGGTGATAAGGCATATATATTTCTACCGTATGGGTGGATAGGATGCTGTTACATGGCAACATTGAAGCTTCCATATGAGGTTTTTACTGTCCAGAAGGGAAAAGGTTCTGATGAGGTTCAATCTGATGCTATTTCTGGAAGTAGGAAGAAAAGGGAACTAGCACAATTTCATAATCTGGAGTCCTATCATTGGAGGATAAGTCCAGGAGAGAAAGGCTATTTCCATGGTATGGTGTGACATTTTTGGCAGATCACATTGATAATATTACCTACACCCTACAGTGTTTTGCAAATGAGACTATAAGAGGTTTTGAGTACTTGTCAAATACTCAAAAGAGTCATAGACTGACGTTGCTGAAACATGACATGGCTCTTGATTATCTTTTGGCTAAACAAGGTGGCCTATGTGTGGCTTTGAACTTAACTGGTGATGCCTGTTATACTTTGATTCCTGATAGTTCTGATAAGATGACTAGTGTCATAGATGCATTGAAGCATGTAAGGGAGGCGTTTGGACCATCGGAAGGAGCTGGATGGTCTGCGAATGCTTGGTTACAGGAGAAATTAGGACCATTGGGAGCAGTGTTGGTTCAGATTATGGTAGCAGTTCTTATATCATTGAGTGTGATGTTGTTTCTGTACGTTGTTGTTAACTTTGCGAAGACTATGATATTGAGATGGGTTGGAGTTGTGATGCCTGGAGATCAAGTTCAGATGCCATTATTACATAGGACTGACACAGACGATGACGAGGAAGCGGTGATAGAAGGCGAACTGATGGAGAAATATCCATTTTGAATATCTATTCTTATTATAGTCTTAACATTTATTTCTGTTACTATTTTGGGTATTTAGTAGTCTCTTACTATAGAGTGGAATGATAGCAGGGGGAAATGAAAAAGGTGATTTATAACTTGGAATAATGTGAAAGTATGATACTGTGAATTTCACATTTACTTATAAGGTGTTAATCCATATGTGATGTTTCAATTTGCATCTGTTGTTTTTGCAAAAGATACTGGTTGGTGGTTTTCTTTTCTTTTCTTCAAGAACGATGTTGGGGGAAGACCACTGTAAGGGTGGTTGGATCTTCGGGGACCCCGATGTGCATGGACAATAAGATTGGACTGAAGGACATTGAATAAGGACACTGTGATACAATGCCCGGAGTCAACACATCATCGACACTACACTGAGAGTCGACGCTGCTGAGGAGCTGCAGTGTGATACATTTTTATGTCTTGATATATATATTTGCATAGTATTGGATTGTGTTATATTATATTGTAATGTGTGATATTGATAGAGGACATTTATAAGGTAGTGATAATCTTAGTAAGACATACTAGTTGGATTGAGTGTAGTACTTAAATTTATGACACTTTCTTTGGGGTTTAACTTGATTGAAGACTGATGTTTTCTGCTATGGAGTAAGTACATTGAGACCTCAGATGTTCTTTTCTTTTTTCGGGTGCTTAGGGATATTGGTGTTAGGCAGGGAAAGGTCCATTGGAAGGTCCGATGGGTCGACCAGCCTGAATGTGGACATTGTTTTGATTTTATTTTCTGAGGTTTCCATATGTATTTGCTTAAGTCATATATCTATACAATTTATCAAAATACCTCCTTTAAAGTGGTCTGGAGTACTTTATGTGGTTGCCTAAGGCAGAGGGGCCGTGAGATAATTTTTCCTGTCTAGATTGTTTGATGGACATTTCAGGAATGATAGCTGCCTGACAGGTTTTTTCGCTCTCACACTCCAGAAAGTTGTTGCATTGCTAAGGTTATGCTGTAGGAAGCATGTGTAGGAAGAACTGTTATTTAGTTACAACTACAAACATGTATGTGATACTTTTTTGTTCTTCGAGACTTTGAGGAAGCCTCGAAAGGGGGGAATATGAGGTGTATTTAGAAGAGTAACTTTATAAAAGAAGGCAACAACACTCTTAACGTTGAGTATAAGTTGATATTGTAGTGTTTGAAGTACCCTGTGTGCTCCGTTTTGCAGGGATTAGGAATGTTTAAATTAAGGGGCCCCCTGGTCCAAAGCCCCATAGGGAGTAGGCCTCTCACTTTCTCCCTTCTTCTCTTAGTTCCAAATAGATGAGATCATTTTAAAAAGAACCATATGCTCTGTCTCCTGTTTCAACAACAAGAACCATATATAAGCACCTGGAATATTCTGTTCTGGAGAGGACACTTAGAATTGGCATGGATCCTCTCTCAGGTACTTTATAGTGCTTGATATGATACTGTTTTACTATGTAATAAACATCTTATGCGAAGAACACAGTGTCAGCGGAGTTTTCCTTCATCATCTTCACATCATCGCTACTTAATAGACAACAAGTTGCAAATGCATATCTGTATATCACATCACCATAATCCAGAATAGACAATAACATTGTTGAAACAATCTTTTTTCTTGGGTGCTTTAGGAAACACATTTTGTTTTGATGCTGGAAGCCAAGTTTTTGCCTCAGTTTACATGTAAGCTTGTTAACATGGTACTGTGCATCTGTTGTCTAGCCACATGTCATGGTATTTACACTTATAACTGTTTCAACGTCAGATCTCTCTAGGGTTAGAGAGGTGATTTAAAAAAAATGTTAAAATCAATGTTAGAGGCTCTGGAAATTAGCATAAATTTAGTTACCTCAACATTTAAGACTAGTTTGATTGTAAAAACCCAAATGCAGAGCATTAACAGAGTACAGCAGACAATATAATCAGCTGAGCAGTACAGAATGGTGTAGTCAATATATAAATGAAACATGTAAAACATAAATATGCCAGTATTTCTTGTTTGGTACTCACAGCTCTATCACAATGGGACCGGGTTTAATCTCATCCATCTCCATGAAGGCAAAACACTTAGTGCTGGTGAACCTCTTCTTGGGCTTGTAGTGTTTGAATTCAAAGAATATAGCTGCACCTACAGCAAAGAAAGCACAGTGGCACAGTGGGGAAAATGACAGTTACATTTCCAAAGGTACTTTTAAACACACACTCACCAAGCACTTTAATAGGAACACTACACTAATACTGGGTAGGGCCTCCCTTTGTTCTCCCCTACAGCCTCCACTGGATTCAGATCCAGTGACTGGGAAGGCCACTGAAGAACAGTGGAGTCACTGTCATCATGAAACCAGTCTGAGACAGCTTTTGCTTTTTGACCTGGTGCATTATTATGATGGAAGCAGCCATTAGAAGATGGGTAAATTGTGGCCATGAAGGGATGAACATGGTCAGCAATAGTACTCAAATAGACTGTCATTCAAGCAGTGATTAATTGATATTAACAAGCCTAAAGTGTGCCAAGGAAACACTCCACACACCATTACACCACCTCCACCAGCTTGGACTGTTTACACAAAGTGGGTTAGGTCCATGGATTCATGCTGCTGGTGCCAAATTCTGACCCTACCATCTGTACGCCTCAGATTCATCAAATGATAACAGTAAAACAGTAAAATTAATGAAGTTATTCTAAAGGATTGCAACTGTTCACGTGAACAAATGTGCAAATTCTTGTAGCTTACAGATGGAGCCTTCAGTCCGACAGCCACAGTTGCTAGCTGTGGTTTAATTAAAGCAGCAAATAATGTATTTGTGAACAGCCCATATAAAAAAATGGATGTCAGTTTGCCTTGAACTGCGCAGGTGGGAGCAGGCCAAAAAGTTTCAGTTGCAGGCAGGAGCAAGACAAATGACTCCCATTTTCTTCAGGAGCGGGATGAAATCTTGTGGCAGCAGACGGGAACGGGGCTCAAAAAAAAGTCCCGCACAGATCTCTAATCAGCAGTTATACTCAAAGCAGCAAAGTAGGTGTACAGGTGTTCCTAGTAAAGTGCTCAGTGAGTGTATGATTATGATCAATACAGAACTGCTGTGTTATGAGTTAATGGCCATATATGTGAAACTGCCTTTGAATTTGAATGAAAAAAAAAATCAACTATTTTCAAAGGTAGCTTTTCTGACCTTTTGGAAGTTTTTCAAGATGTTTTTGAATTTCCACATCTACACAGAAATGAATGTATGTGTCTTCTTTCTGTGTTGCCACTGGAGTGTCTTGAACAGGGTTCAAATCAACACCGTTCAAATCTGCAGTACAGAAAAACCTATTATTACATTCTTACATTTGAACTGATAGATGAACTTTTATGAAGAAAACAAATATTTTCACAATAAAAAAAAATTACAGATGCTCATACCTTTTACACTAATTGTCATGTAAGGATCGATACATTGCCCTGCATCTTTCAGACCAATCTTTTCAATTTTTAAAGTGAGTAGAGTCATTCCTGGCTCTGAGGGAAGTCGTGGTAATAAAGTACCTGTTAGAAACACAAACAGTTCTACAATTCGCAGTTCATCACCTTCATATGTATAAGTGTGTAGTGTTCACCTGAGCATCAGAGAAAAATATACAGTGAGAAGCAAAAATATTGGTAGAATAAAGTCAAACGGGTTATTTTTGTAATATACTCATAAAATTTGTATTCCAGATCAAAAAATGAGCATGAGACCATACACAGAATAAGTGTAGGTACTGGAACAAATGAACATGAACAAACCCTTTACTTACAATAAATGCATCAAGTCTGTGACTTCTTGATGACTTCATTTAGGCTATGTTCACACAGTAGGTAAAAGTGGCCCAAACCTGATTCTCACCAAATCAGATTTTTTTGTTTGGCTGTTCATTACTCTGAACAGATCACACTCCTAAACTGACCAGCATGTGCAAAAGAACAATGCTTCACATTGCTTCATGTGGCATGCTTAACTAGAGGTAAACAATCATGACTATGAACGAACGCCAGTCGCTCCCAAAGTTTTCAGTTTAATTTTCGCCAGCATCACAAGAGCGATCATGAAGTTCCGATGGCTGACAGCTGGGCTCATCACCCAGAATGTGGAATGTTTCTATATTGGTAGAATGCAAATTGGTAGAATGTTGTTGGTATAAGTGGGTAACATCTCTGCCTTCTATGCTGTAGACTGGGGTTCAATCCCTGCCTAGGTATGCATCCTACACTATACCAATAAGAGTTTTTGGGCAAGACTCCTAACGCTACCTTCGCCAACCTGTGTAAAAAAATGATCAAGTTGTATATCGCTCTGGATAAGAGCATCTGCTAAATGCCGTAAACGTAAGTATGTGTTCGAGCTCGCTGTAAAAAAGGCACATGCCACTTTGCTTCCAGACTTTTAACTGATCTTTGCTTCTGCAGCCTCGCTCTCCTACGGCCATGTTCGGCCATTTCTTTCAAAACCTCTTCCAACGTGGAGCGGTTGAGCCTAAATGTTTATGAGGTTTCAGCAGCGCGAAATGATGATGAATGTCGAGTTGGATTGACATAAAAGTCGCATGAATTCCGATCTGTCTGTACAGAGTCGCATTGTCACAGATCAGATACGTATCGTATTTCTGTACCACATATGAAATCGGAATTTTAGATTCAGTGTGTTTTTTGCTGTTTACACTGCCTCACAGATGACATGTCTGTGTCGCATAAGTGGAAAAAGATCAGATTTTTACATGCTGTGTAAACATAGCCTTAGACTGCTCTGCCAAGCCTTTATAGCAGCTTCTTTGTGTTGGTGATTGTTTTCAGGGTGTTTTGACTTCAGTTACCTGTTCAATATTTACAATGCATCCTCAAGAGGGTTTAAAATCAGGAGACTGACTTGGCTAGAGTAAACATTTCTATTTTTTCTTACTGAGGAATTGGTTAAGTGTGCAGTATGCTTTGGGTGCTGCTGTAGTTATGTACACTTCAGAATTCAGTTCTGCTGCTACCATTACCATTTACATCATCAATGAAAACCAGTGAGCTTGTTCCAGAAGCAGCGATGCATGTCCAAGCCATGACAGTGCCTCCTTCATGCTTAACTTAGATGAAGTTAATAAAAGATCAATCTTTACCTCATTTGACCATAAAACTTTGCTTTGGTGCCTTAATTCACCTGCTTGCAACTTCAGTAGTTTCTTTTTCTTCCTACACTGTTTTTCAATTTTTCATTAAATGAGGCATCACTGTTTGAATATTTCAAAAGAAAACATTAAGTTTTAGTCAGATAAATTTTTTGGTCATAGTAGTTGGTAGTTGTCCATAATACATATATATGGATTATTCTTATAAACATGACAACTACTTGATCCCAACCTGAAAAAAATTAAATGACTAAAACTTTTTTTTGTGTATATACAATGATGCCTCATTTAATAATTAAAATTAAATGTGATTGATTTAACTGATGTGAACCAAAAATAAATCTGCAAATAATACTTTTTTGCTCTTCTTTTTATAATGTAAGCACTATAAGCACTGTAAAATAATTACTACTATATTCCGTTGCACTCAAAATTATTCAACCCCCTCAAAGTGCAAGGCAGTTTGGTAATATGAATAAAATTTGATTATAAAAATCTATCAACCAAGGCTTTAGTAAGCAGTCAAAGTAGATTTATCACTACATGTTCAAGTCATTTTGACAACATAAGTTTCAGTTTACTGTGAACAGTTCAAATTCACAAATGCCCACGTGCAAAATTATTCAACCCCCCACAGTATTTTGTGGCAAAACCTTCTAGCTTATCAATGTTCCTTGGTTTCCGTGTCACGACAGCTTTCCTCAAATCCCACCAAAGATTTTCAATGGGATTTTAATGGGGACTGAGATGACCACTCAAGGACATTCCAGGACTGATCCCTGAACTGAGCTTCGGTCAACTTGGATGCATGTTTGGGATCAATGTCTGAAAAGTCAGATGATCACCAAGCTTCAATTTAGCAACTGAAGGCAACACATTCTTCTTCAAAATGGCCTGGTATTTCAAAGAATCCATGATGCCAGTCAAACGGGCAGGACTGCCAGTTCCTGCAGCAGCAAAACACCCCCTCAAAAGGACTGCCCAACCTCCATGCTTGACCATAGTGTTCTTTTTGTAATATGCTTTGCTGTTCTTATGCCAGACATGTCACTGATCCATAGGTCCATACAGTTTTAATTTTAATTTTAATGATTAAACTGTAAGTCACTCTGGATAAGACCACCTGCCAAATGCCATAAGCGTAAAATGTAAAATATTGCAAGTCTTTGGCAGGGTTTTTCCCAGCAGTTCTGTCCAAATGTCTGATTCTTCTTGGTGAAATTTTGCTCTTTCTTTCATGTCCAGGTAGGTTTCCTGTGTACCATGAGTTTTAAACTTACGTATGATACCTCCAACTGTGTCTCTTGGTACTTTAAGTCTCTAGGACATCTTCCTGTAGCTGTTTTCCTGTAGCATTTTTGGTGCAATGAAATAATGTCTTCTTTTAGCTTTTGTGAGAGCTCCTTTTTGTTTACATGGGTGCAATTTATATATGCACAGCTGAAAGAAATTAATTGTCATTACAGAGTACCCAAAGGCTTACATCAGAATACACAAAGGCTTTGTAGCCTCATACACTAGCATGGCTGTTTTAAGAACTGATCCTTTTACTCAGAAATATGACGTCACACATTTTCACTAATGAATAGGTCACTCAACTAATACACATAATTGATTGGGACTTCACAAAAAAGTGTATTTATATATATATATATATACATACACACACACACACACACACACACACACAGTCACTGAAATAACTTGAAACTGACAAAAGTAATAATAAATAAAAATAGACTGAAAATCAAGTAATGAAAATCAGACATTGCTTTTGAATTGTGGTTCAATAACAGAATTATTTAAAACACTATGAAACTGGCCTGGACAAAAATGATGGTACCCTTAACTTAATATTTTGTTGCACAACCTTTTGAGGCAATCACTGCAATCAAGTGATTTCTGAAACTCTCAGTGAGACCTCTGCACCTGTCCACAGGTATTTTGGCCCACTCCTCGTGAGCAAACTGCTCCAGCTGTCTCAAGTTTGAAGGGTGCCTTCTCCAGACTGCATGTTTCAGCTCCTTCCACAGATGTTCAATAGGATTTAGATCAGGGCTCATAGAACGCCACTTCAGAATAGTCCAATGCTTTGCTCTTAGCCATTCTTGGATGTTTTTAGCTGTGTGTTTTGGGTCATTATCCTGTTGAAGGACCCATGACCTGCAACTGAGACCAAGCTTTCTGATACTGGGCAGCACATTTTGCTTCAGAATACCTTGATAGTCTTGAGATTTCATTGTACCCTGCACAGATTCAAAACACCCTGTGCCAGATGCAGCAAAGCAGCCCCAAAACATAACCGAGCCTCCTCCATGTTTCACAACAGGTACAATGTTCTTTTCTTTGTATGCTTCATTTTTGCGTCTGTGAACATACACTATATTGCCAAAAGTATTCGCTCGTCTGCCTTCACACGCATATGAAATTGAGTGACATCCCATTCTTAATCCATGGGGTTTAATATGATGTCGGCCCACCCTTTGCAGTTATAACAGCTTCAACTCTTCTGGGACGGCTTTCCACAAGGTTGAGGAGTGTGTTTGTGGGACTTTGTGACCATTCTTCCAGAAGCGCCTTTGTGAGGTCAGACACTGATGTTGGACGAGAAGGCCTGGCTCGCAGTCTCCGCTCTAATTCATCCCAAAGGTGTTCTATTGGGTTGAGGTCAGGACTCTGTGCAGGCCAGTCAAGTTCTTGCACACCAAACTTGCTCATCATGTCTTTATGGACCTTGCTTTGTGCACTGGTGCGCAGTCATGTTGGAACAGGAAGGGGCCATCCCCAAACTGTTTCCACAAAGTTGGGAGCATGAGAGTTCCTTTCACTGGAACTAAGGGGCCGAGCCCAACTCCGGAAAAACAACCCCGCACCATAATCCCCCGTCCACCAAACTTTACATGTGGCACAATGCAGTCAGACAAGTACCCTTCTCCTGGCAACCACCAAACCCAGACTCGTCCATCGGATTGCCAGACGGAGAAACGTGATTCGTCACTCCAGAGAACACGTCTCCACTGCTCTAGAGTCCAGTGGCAGCGTGCTTTACATTGCGCTTGGTGATGTAAGGCTTGGATGCAGCTGCTCGGCCATGGAAACCCATTCCATGAAGCTCTCTACGCTGTTCTTGAGCTAATCTGAAGGCCACATGAAGTTTGGAGGTCTGTAGCAATCGACTCTGCAGAAAGTTGGCGACCTCTGCACACTATGTGCCTCAGCATCCGCTGACCCCGCTCTGTCATTTTACGTGGCCTACCACTTCGTGGCTGAGTTGCTGTCGTTCCCAATCGCTTCCACTTTGTTATAATACCACTGACAGTTGACTGTGGAATATTTAGTAGCAAGGAAATTTCACGACTGGACTTGTTGCACAGGTGGCATCCTATTATGGTACCACGCTGGAATTCACTGAGCTCCTGAGAGCGACCCATTCTTTCACAAATGTTTGTAGAAGCAGTCTGCATGCCTAGGTGTTTGGTTTTATACACCTGTGGCCATGGAAGTGATTGGAACACCTGAATTCAATGATTTGGGTGGCTGAGTGAATACTTTTGGCAATATAGTATAGAGCTGATGTGACTTGCCAAAAAGCTCCAGTTTTGTCTCATCTGTCCAAAGGACATTCTCCCAGAAGCTTTTTGGCTTGTCAATATGCATTTTGGCAAATTCCAGTCTCGCTTTTTTATGATTTGCTTTCAACAGTGGTTTCCTCCTTGGTCGTCTTCCACTAAGTCCACTTTAGCTAAAACAGCGACAGATGGCGCGATCTGACACTGATGTACCTTGACCTTGAGAGAGTTAACCTCTAATCTCTTTGGAAGTTGTTCTGGGCTCTTCGGTTACCATTCGTATTAACTGTCCTGTAGACCGTAACTTCTGAATAATATTTGCAACTGCAGTAACAGGAACATCAAGCTGCTTGGAGATGGTCTGATAGCCTTTACCTTTAACATGTTTGTCTATAATTTTGTTTCTAATCTCCTGAGACAACTCTCTCCTTTCTCTCTCCTTTCTCGCTTTCTGTGGTCCATGTTCAGTGTGGTACACACCATGATACCAAACAGCACAGTGACCACTTTTCACCCTTTAAATAGGTAGACTGACTGATTACAAGTTTGAAGACACCTGTGATGCTAATTACAGGACACACCTTAGTTTAACATGTCCCTGTGGTCAAATTATTTTCAATCTTTTCTAGGGGTACCATCATTTTTGTCCAGGCCAGTTTCATTAGTTTGTTTTTTAAAATAATTCTGTTGAACCACAATTCAAAAGCAATGCCTGATTTTCATTAGTTGATTTTCAGTAAATTTATATTTTTTATTACTTTTGTCAGTTTCAAGTTATTTCAGTGACCACTGTGGGTTATTCTTTCTTTAACGGAAGGGTACCAACAATTTTGTCCACGTGTGTGTAATATATATATATATATATATATATATATATATATATATATATATATATATATATATATATTTACACGCGGACAAAATTTTGATGTTTTGGTTCCCATCCTTACAGTTTACCTGACTTATTTAATGAGAAAAAATACCAAACAACTAAAACTGGGAACTCCACATACATTTGCTGTACAACCCCATTACCAAAAAAGTTGGGACGCTGTGCAGAATGTAAATAAAAATAGAATACAGTGATATGCAAATCATGTAAACCATGTTTTTAAAGGAAAATACTACAAAGACAACATATCAAATGTTGAAACTGAGAAATATTTTTCAAAAAAAAACAATAAAATACGCCCATTTTGAATTTGATGCCAACAACACGGTCCAAAAAAGCTGGGACGGGGGCATGTTTACCACTATGATGCATCACCTCTTCTTTCAACTACACTCTGTAAACATTTGGGAACTGAGGAGGCCAGTTGCTGTAGTTTTGAAAGTGAAATGTTATTCCATTCTTGTTTGATATAGGATTTCACCTGCTCAGCAGTTTGGGGTCTCCTTTGTCATATTTTTCATTTCATAATGTGTCAAATGTTTTCAGTGGTGACAGGTCTGGACTGCAGGCAGGTCAGTTTAGCACCAGTTTAGCACCTGGACTCTTTTAATACAGAGCTTTTCCACTTCGCCTCAGTCCATTTTATATGAGCACGGGCCCAGAGAAGGTGACAGTGTTTCTGGATCTTGTTTATATATGGTCTCTTCTTTGGGTTTTAGAGTTTTAACTTGCATTTGTGGATGCAGCGACAAACTGTTTTCACAGACAGTGTTTTTCAGAAGCTTTCCTGAGCCCATGCAGTGATTTCAACTAGAGAATCATGTCTGTTTTTAATGCAGTGCCGCCTGAGGGCCCAAAGATCATGGCCGCCAAATACTGGTTTTCGGCCTTGTCTCTTGCATACAGAGATTTCTTAGTCTTTTAATGTTATTATGTACCGTAGATGATAAAAAGCAAAAATTCTTTGATATTTTATGTTGAGAAATGTTTTTCTTGAATTGTTGCACTATTTGCTCATGTAGTCTTTCACAGAGAGGTGAACTCCTCCTCATCTTAACTTCTGAAAGACTTACCCTCTTAGGGATGCTCTTTTTATACCAAATCATGTTACTGAGCTGTTGCTAATTAACCACCAGGTGTTTTTTTAGCATTACACAACTTTACCAGCCTTTTGTTGCCCACCGTCCCAACTTTTTTGGAATGTGTTGTTGGCATTAAATTCAAAATGGGCTTATAATATAAATTTCTCACTTTCAACATTTGATTTGTTGTCTTTTACGATTTTCACTTAAATATAGGGTTTCATTAATTTGCACATCATTGCATTCTGTTTTTATTTACCTTTTGCACAGTGGAAATGGGGTTGTATCATATAGAGCTCCAACTGATCTACTGATTGATATGAATATTTTTTATCTGCATGATGCTTTTGACACACAAATATTTATGGACATGTTTTGAGATGAAAATGACTCATAACAAAAATAATCCATTTTATGTCATTATCCCAACATTTTTGCCTTTCACTGTAGTTGATCATAGCATCAACCAACAAAACAAGTAAGCCATAAAGTTTTCTAACATAGAAACAAAAGCCATCCTTTTAAGTCTCAAATGTACATTTTTAAAGTTACTTTGTGCAAATCAGTAGCTGTTTTAACTACTGACTGATGGAAAGTATTTTTTTAATGTAATGAAACATAAATTAGGGAGTAAACATTTAGCCACACTAAGAGCTCTTAATTAGGGCCTGATCAACATTTTCTGACCGACACAAATGCTGATCTTTAAGAGCTAAAAATTCCAGGAACTGTTAATAAATCGAACAGTCCAGTAATTTATTATTATTATTTTTTTGACTGATATGATTGTCACTTGTCAATGGTAAATAATCATTGTCAGTCCTTATTTATAACATTTCATAAACTTATAATAAAACAAACCATTACATACAAAACAAACCCTACATTCATTTTCCGTTATTTAACTGGCAAGATTTTTGCCAAAACTTTTAAATCAGGAAAAACCTTAATATTAGCTAACTGTTGGTTAGGCCCTACTCCTCATACATAAAAAAGACACAATCAATATACAAGGAAATAGATCCAAATATATACAGATTGCTGTTAAGTTTGGTTTGACTTACTGGGCCTCACATACCTGGGACTCCTCTAGGGAAGGACTGTGTTGATCCAGCTCCAGTGGCTGCATCAAATTCCTCTTCAACATCCAGATTCTCCTCCTCACCCGGGGCAAGAATTTTCCTAAGGGTGAAGATTTACAACCACACAATGAGCAACAACCCCAGAGAACTTCAGAATAACTAAAGGCAAACAATTCAGCGATCCAGTCCTTCAAACACAACATGTAAGTTGTCCAAGTTGTACATTTACCTTAAAGGCACTGGTTGGACATCAAAAGGAAAATCTTTGTTGTAGGTAAAAATATTCTTGATAACTGTTAAGACAGTAACAAAGTGTAAACACAAACCAATAACAAGTACATAAACAGTTTTTTCCACCATACCCAGATGTCACATTTACTAAATATCCAACATTTACAATATCAACTGTTATTCAACTAATATATTTAATCATATCCCAGATTCACCAATACTTAGGAAAATGAGGCATAACACTTTGAACCATGCATCTATTATTTATAGCAACAGTGATTATTATGCATCAAGAATAAACAGTCACTTGCTATTCAGGCAAAGTCTTCAGGAGTATATATAAGAAATTCATGGAATGCTTGAGAACAACAATAATTACAAGAACAAAAAAACAGTTGAGATAACTAGAGCACTGTGTATCCAGATGTATTCATTTATAAATTACAAGCGCAAAGTATAAACAAATATATAAATAAATATCACTAAGACATAGTAAAATAAACACAACTTTGTTCTAAAGATAATAGAATACAATAGTTGGAACATCTCTCATTGAACATAGTATACATACAGGGTTCCAGTTTCTTCAGGTCCTCTAACTTAAAGTCTTCTTGAGACTGTGTACACTACCAAAGTAAAAAAAAAGAAGAAAGACACTGATGATTAATGCATTTATCAGTCCCTGTGGTTGAGATGTAATGTTCTGACAATATGCAATCAAAACTGCACAAAAATCATCTGGAGGCAGCCTCTCAAAACACTCAGGAGGGTCAGAACCCACTAGGACCATCATACTTCGTAAAATTAAGGACCACCCTAGACAGTCCTAGCAGGAAAAGACCACAAAATATTCAGGTCTCTCAATAGAATGTCTAGAATAGAACACTCCAACTAGGGCTGGGCGATAAAACGATAATGATAATTATCGTGATATAACTTTTCCTCGATAGAGCGATAAGACAGGTTCAATAAATGTTCGATATGATACACCATTCTCACACTTCCACGTTCAGCGAAAGCCTTCGTGGCGTTTTCTACTGCAAGGAAAGCGACACTACTCTGCTGTCGCCAGGAGAGGGCGCACTTCCGAGTTTTTCGACATGATTAGAGAGGGAGGGGGCCACGAGTAAGACGAGTCTTTAGCAACGGCTGAAACGCCGAGTTATACATTCCCTGTTTGAGTGGAGCGACCAGCGATCTGTTCTCCTGTGACCGAGTGTGAGTGACGAGATCAGTGGTGTAACTATACTGCCCTACAGTGAACTCACCTCTTTCCGTACATCCTAACCAGCTTTAGCAGTGTTAAATCATAATCCTCACAACTACAGCGCTGTTGCAGCGCTCGGACAGTCATAATTTAGTATTAGTGCATTCCCAAGCAACGAAAGTGAAAGAAAGAAGTGAGTTCATGTAAATTACAGCTCTGATTTATACGAAAGTAAACTGAGGAAGCTGAGGCATTGGAGAGCAGGAGAGCACTATCTTTCCAGGCTAGCTGTTTTTAGCAGCTGGCTAACTTGAAGCAGCGCACTGTCACTGACACAACACGGAGAATTGATGATACTGTAGATCAAACACGACACAAAAGCACTGCTTTCAGTTTAAACGTGCCTAAAAGACGTTTGTCTGGTGTTGATATTTTGCGGTTCACGCCTTAAACTACTACGATCACCAGCTGAAAATAATCTGTTTTCTTTCTTAAATTATGACTATTACAAAAATAGCCATGCTTTTCCAGCTGGCAAAAACAGCTCACCAGACACTTTCTCCCACTCTCCCATGACAGATTTGTGAAATGTTCCATTGTTTGGTGAGTGTTCGTCATGTTCTGAACATAAAGGATAGTTTAAAACACGATATCGATATCGAACGATATGAATTTTGTTTATCGTGATAACATTTTTGGCCATATCGCCCAGCTCTAACTCCAACTAGAGGTCAGCACCTGAAAAAAACAGTCCCACTCCCGCAAGCTCCCAACAAGATTTTATCTCTCTTCCGCCAAAAATCTGAATCATTTGCCCCGCTCCTGCCCATAACGAAAACGTTTTGGCCTGCTCCGCCGCACAGTCCCATCAAGATGAACTGACATTCAATATTGGACATAGTCTGGTCATCGGGCTTACTGTGAAGTAACTTCACCATACACCATTTATTCCCAGTAAACACAAAGCAAGAATTAAACCACAAAATGGTCATTTTTGTTATTTTGCTGGGCGCGTACTGAAGGCTCCGCCCTCTCTGTAAGCTACAAGAATTTGCATGTTGTTCACGTGAGCGATTTCTTCGCAACTCTTAAGAATGACTTCATTCATTTTAACTGTTTCACTAATATCATATTATATATTTTTTATATATGTGATTTAGTGACCGTTCTACTTTATTTAGGATATTGATTAATTGCGGCATTTCTCTACATGCAAGCTTCATCCTGCTCCTCCGTGCAGTGGGCTGGTTACCCGCCTGTTCCTATGCACAAAACTGAAAATTAGTTCCACGCCACAAAATATTGTGGTGGTACCCACAGGAGTGCAGACCTCAAATTCCAACTTCTTGTGAATTGCACTGGAATTATCTGAAAAGCCGTCAAAAGCCATACGAAATGATACTTATTAATATACTTATTTATCTTACAATAATGCTGAATTTACTTAGTAGAAAGAAGAAGCTGTAATTATATATCACATTTTAAAGAGAACAATTAAGCAAGCCTCTTATAGAAGAAAATTATTCAAACAACAAATTACAAACACCTGATGCAATACAATTAAAAAAAAAAAAACAATTATATAAACTCGTCCATTACACTTATTGATAAGTGTGATTTAACTGTACGTTTTTATGGAAATGTGCTCTTGTTTTATATATACGCATATGTGAACGCTAATACTTGATTGTTTTTGTTACACATATAGAGTTGTATGCAAAATTTCAGGCACCCTAGGCAAAATTACATATTTTGTTAACAATTCTGTTAGTAAAAACAACCTCTGCAGAAGAGTATTTAAAAAAATCCTTTCTGCAAAGGCCCTGTTGCTTTCTATTTAATTAACTTAAAATAAATAAAACAGTAAAATTGTGGCATGTACAAAAATTTGGACCAAATTTTGTTGTAAGATTGAAATGTCTCAAAACTCAATTACTCATTATGCCTTAACTGACTTGTTAGGAGGACTGATAAAGCAGGTCAAGAATTGTCATTAAGAATTGTCAGCTAACAACAATTCCAGAGCGTATTAAGTTCTTTAATTCCTCAAACCTTGTGCTAACAATGAACAACTATAGGTTCCTCTAAGCAGCTAGCTGAGGATCTGAAAATGAAGCTAGTTCATCAAGCCTATGAAAAAGAGGAATGCTATAAAAAGATATTAAAGCGCATCCAGCTTGCAAACTTTCCACTGTCCAAAATGTCATTAAGAAATGGCAGTTAAGCGGAACTGTGGAAGTCAAGATCGAGACGATCAAGAAAACTCTCAGAACTGCTTGTCTGATGGCGAGAAAAGTAAAGCATAACCCTTATATGACAGCAAAGGACTAACAGAAAAGTTTAGCTAACACAGGAGTGTTGATGAATTGTTCTACTGTGCATCATTGCTTGCACAAACATGATGTGGCAGAAAACAGGAAGACAGAAGAATGAATTTCACTAAACATCAGCAAATTCTGAAAGCAAATGTGACACAGTAAATCAATATACTGAATACAGAGTATTTATCAAGCATTACTACAAACCTGTAGGGACGCACTTCGCATTTCAAGACATGTTGCAACCTTTCCTAGGGTTTTCTAGAAAAAGAAAATATTTAGAAAAAGTTGAGTGAATGTATATTTTCTCCTCACAACTATGGCAAAAATAAGACATTTTCATGATACTTGATACAGTGTATCACAGTATTTTGTTTTTCTGATGCATGATTAAGTTGAAACAGACACCACCAGTAGTGCCATATTTAAAAAAAAAAAAGAAGTATTGTAAAAAACACATTTCACACTTAAAGCCTACATGACTGAAATACAAACCTTTTGTTCCTCTGTGAAATCATGCGAATTTGATGATTGGACCTCTTTCTGCAGCTGCCTTGCAAGTCTGTCAAATAAATAATAATATAGTAAAATAAAACAAAATAAAATGCATTTACTAACATGACTAAATGCCAGAATAAACTAACACAACAACTAATGTCGTTAAAAATGACATCATCATTTTCTTGCAGAGATGATCACGGTAGAATATTTTGTTTACAATTAGTAATCAGTAATGACACGGTGGCTAAACAAAATATCTAACGGTCCAAAGGACCGCTGTGAGTACAAAAGCTCCACCCACAGGAAAAAGAGGGTGTGACGGTAAATCTGTAACATCTAATGCAGGATAGGGCTGTTTGCCCCCCTCATTAATGTGGCAAACATGATTAAATTTAATGTTTGTAAAGAGCCATAAATCTAATTGTAGTATCCCAATTAAACCAGAAAAGTTAACACGTAAGTGCTACTGGTTCAAATACTTACTTCATTATCAACGTAAATAACGTTAACTGTAACAAGTTATTTCAATTTTCGTTTACATCATACAAAAATGTAAGCAGCACAGTTCCAGGAGTTGACAAGAACTTGTTTGTTTCAGCAAGGCACAATGAATAAGCGAAAATGTACTTTGTGAGTAACGACAAACAGATTATTCACTCGAGCCTTCTGAAGACAACTTACATTTGGTACTCATCAATCGCTTCCACCAACTGCCCCCACGAATCAAAGTCCGTGCCCTTTTTAAAACTTGCGTGCCATTTTTGGACGGTCTTGGTGACATCGGACATCTTCTCAAGTTAAACTTTAAGAGACGTTTCAGGTTAACATTGCTGGTGAGATTTTATTTTGCAGTCAGCATTGTTGTGAATCAGCTGGCTGTCCACAATCTACAGATGAACCGGTGATACTGCTGCACAGGACCAAGCCCTTCTGCGAGTGCAACCAAACGTACTTCATGACACTATCGGAAGTCCTGCTCATGAAATATCCAATTTAAAAGTCTCAAAACCTTTTTTTTCTCGTATTACTTCGACTGGAGATCTCCCCTCCTTCCATGCTAGGAACTGTAGTACTCAAGTTTAATAGGCTAACGTAGATTTTAAAGCCTTCTGCTCTCCAAAACAAGTCACTTTGATCTCTGTGTCTGAAACGGCCTACGATGTCAAAATAAAAGTTCTCAATGACGAGCAAAATTGGTAATCCATTTTTGCTTATTAAGAGTAATCTTTTAAAATAATTTATTTATCCAGAAAACACCTGGCTAGGTATTAGCTCCCTAGGAAAATCAGCATAGAAAATTAAATTGAGTGATGGAGTAGGTTCCTTGGTGCTTAACAATGGAAAAATGAAAACAGCTGGCAGATATACCAACTTTTTTCAGCCTTTTAAGACAACACCCATTTTAAACAAAGTAGAAGAGGTCTATGAAAGATCCTGACATGTAAAAAATGCTGAATAAGGACTTCCTTTTAATGCTTTTGTAACCTTGGTGTGACATCAAGAAAAGCTGTCTTTCTTATAAAGAAAGCTGTAAAGGACAAGTAGCATTGTGACACTTTTTATTTGTGCTGTGTTAATGTCAATGCTAACCATACATCCTTTCTTTGAACTAATTAGATAAACGCATGCCCTCCAGCCACTGTCCTGAAGTGTAATCTTTTTTGTCTAGGAAAAAGATTAATGAGACATTGAGGGACAAATATGTGACAACTGATATGGTGTTGAGAGTGCTGTGCCATCTTTTTTTGATGTCTTTTTGTCAAGGTGGGCTACTGCTGTGTGGATTGGTATTGAGATTGTATTTTTCGTGTTGCCGTGGGCCCTTTTAGGGTGGTCTTTTCCATAAACAGAAAACACTACCCAGGATAAAATTTTTAAACTTTTATACCAACATGCTAAAGAGCAGGGTTTTTTTTTATGACAAAGGATACTTTAGAAGTAAAAAAGGTAGTAATAAAACTAAAAACACTGGATAAAGTGTGCATAGGATAACCATCTGCTTGGGTTGTCTAAGATAGAGATGAGCTGTATGAGCTGTAGGCTTCATTAGAGAAACAGGATAAACAACACTTCAAAACTAGTCAGTAGACTAGTTTAATTTGTTTCAGGCCTTACCTTTTAAAATGAGGTGAGTTTGTGAGCTCATTAGACAGCAGTTAAGTTTGTAAGGTGAATATGCAAATAACTCCCTGGTTGGTGCCCTGCCTATTACCTAGGTACAGTAGTCTTTGTTCTTTTCTCTCAGTCAAAATTTTGTCACTTGTGTTGTCCTTGACACCCATCCTCTGACAGCCCGTGGCACGGCATTCCTGAATGTGAGCGCACTGCAGCTCACTGTCAAACCGTGGTTTTAATAGACAAGATATTAGGGCCGTGCACTTGTTAATATGAATCAGAACTGTTTTATTAGTACATTTTCACATAGCATAAAAAAATTCTATTGTTCTAACAAAATATTGTCTAAAAGACGTTACCGCATATCTAGAACTCAAGGTCTCGGTACATTACGTTTTCTTTTTACAACGTCATCAATGACGTGTGTAAAACAGGAAGAACTTCCATTGTGTTTATTTCGTGGTTTGGATTACATATTTCTTGGAAGCCCTGCCAGTTAGAAAGGTTTGACACGTATTATAAATTATTTCTCATAGAAGACGGATTCAATTAGAGTTTTCAGGATTGTTTTCATTAACGTTAGCTTGTTTCACGGCTTCCTACGTGTTGGGACAGACTGTTATGTTACGTAGCTTTCGTTAGCTGAAAGAAGCTAACCCTAGATAGCGAAATGCTAGTTAAGTAGATTTCTCTTAACTAGTCGACCACATATTGCCATAGCCACACTGATTAAGCGTCGCTAGCAAATCGCTTCCTCTTCGATATTTCAGAATATATGTTATTCAGTTATTCAGAAGGTCTGTAGGACATCGGGTAATCTTTTCGAGCTGTTTAAGACATGTCGGATCGGCGATGAACTAACGTAGATCTTATTCTGTATTCTATGCCTGCTCGGTGACGTTAATTCCAGTGTAGAATTCACGTTCATTTATCAGATAAAGCCAGATGATGATGCCGCCCCACCCCCCCACCCCCCCCAAAAAAAAACAACAACTCAGACGTATTTATTTATGATTTGGTTTAGCCAGTTAGTTTAGAATGGTTATTGTATCATATCAGCATTTTACCAATGCTAATACAAACATATATTTCCAAAAGGTGTTGCTGTCTCTCTAGCCAGACACACAATGACGCACTGGTTTCATCGAAATCCTTTGAAGGCGACAGCACCCGTGTCGTTCAATCTGTATGGAGTGGCATCCAGTCCTGCTGCCAGTAAAATTTGCAAGTAAGATTCCTGTGCAAGATAACGCGAGTCTGGGTGGCACATTGTGTCAGTTATTGACGTGTGTAAAACCAGCCATTGCTTTTATAAACGGTCCAATCAGTGCTGCGGAGACCTGAACCAACCTGATAGAATCACAAATTTTTGATATTGAACTCATTCGTTGTGTTATAGTGACCTGAGGACAACACGGGCTAGGCTTTTGGACATGTTCACAGATGCTACCTGCACTCCCGAGATCATGAAGAAGGCCACTGATGAATATTTCTCGCTTTTACAGGGTTGGTTTTGTCACGTTTTAATATTTGTGAGCAGCAATGTGTGAAAATACAAAATGCAGTTATCAAACTGAACGAAAAGAAATGTAATATGTTCCAACCTGTGTGGCATGTTAGAATGTTTTTTTTGGAATTTCTTACCTCCTGTATCTGATGTGATAAATGTGAAGAAAGAAAGAAAGTCCTTAAATGAGATACAACCCAATCACAAGCTACTTACTTCATGACTAGGTCTTTCCTATCTTATTGTACGTGGTTTTCTCAGGGTTGGTCTTTTGGTTGGGCTTTTTTTTTGGTAATTTTGATGACTACTCTGTGTTTGTCCAGCTCTGTGAGCATTGTTATTTTATTTCACTTTTTCTGTGCTTGAACTGCTTGACATGCATAGGGTTCATTGTATCTCTGGACGGTACTACACAAGAGAACAAGCTACGTTTCATTCAGAACTTCAAGTGGACTGACACTTTGCAAGGAAACACACCAAGGTAATGTAATATGTAGAGACAGGACTATAGTTGGTCTCTCACACAATATATTACTACACTAAAATCCCATTCTATGCCAACTAGAAGCCTATAATTATGCAATCTTTTTAAAAATAGTACCTGTCAAGGTTTCAATGTTTGGGTTAGTTGGCACAGAACAGCATTTAGCGCATTAATGTAGTGCAGAAGTACTAGTCTGTTGGTTATGTACGGATTCTGTTATTGTGTCTATAAGTGCTGTGCAGCAATAATACAACCTTTTTTTTCTTGTTCAGTTCTCAACAAGATGCTGTTTTTGAGCTGGTATCCATGGGATTTAACGTTGCCATTTGGCATACTAAATTTGCATCAAGGCTTGCTGGAAAGGAAAAGTGGGTATATTTGTTGTATTTGGGCTTTTTAAAACTGGATGTGAAATCAGTATTTAATATTTTACACATTATTAGTGTTTAAAAAGTATATTCTGTTGTAGCATCACTGAAGATGAAGCAAAGGATGTTCATAAGAGTCTGAAAATTGCTGCAGGAATTTTCAAGTATCTTAAGGTAAATGTCACTACAGGCAGTAACTGCAATACTGAGTTTAAAAATAATTTCTCATTTCATTAGTGTTCTCTGTTTCCCATATAGACAAATGACAAAAGGAAATTGGCCTCTGTATCACCTCACATTTATACCTCCATTTAAAAAAAAGTGAAATATAAATGGAAGCATTGTTTAAGTTACATTTTGTTCATAAGGATTTCTAGGGGTACCAATAATTGTAAGAAGTGATTTCATTAAAATATATTTTTGATAAGAGGTTTTGTTTTCTTAGCTAAATTTACTTCAGTTAAAGGTTAGATTTTTCTCATATTTTCAATGTGAGATTGAACTAAGACAAAGACATTGTTTCATCACTTTTTTTTAACCCGTCTCTACCAAGGGTGGCAATAATTATGAACTTGATTGTATAAATATGGACCTGACTGTACATTACTCCTTTTAAACCTAGCTAGGTTTAAGAGAATCAATATTATGTAAATAGGGAAGTCACTTTAAAGACATATTTTCTCCTTCCAGGAGATTCAGATACCCCGTCTTATCACACCAGCTGAGAAAGGCAGAGACCTGGAGCTGAGGGTCATTGACACCTACATTGTGCAGAGTCAAGCAGAGGCTCAGGAAGGTGTGGTGTAGTCTCAATATTTACATTTTCCTTCCTATGTTTATTCAATGTAAAACAAAAAAGCCCTACCGAGCTTCATATCATGTTTGTCCCTTTCCCTTCAGTGACCATTGCCCGTGCAATTGAGCTGAAGCATAATGCAGGCCTTATTGCAGCATTGGCATTTGAGACAGCAAATTTCTACCAAAAGGCTGGTAAGTTTGAGTCAAATGTACTAATATAAAAACAAATCACTCTCTTTTTTGACTGTAATTATTCATAGTGTTTTATCCTCAGCCTTCCTCCCTTTTTTTGCTGCTTCAAAGTGAACTTGTGGATGCACTGTATACATACTGACATGTTACAATGTAGTCTTCTTATCCCGCTAGATCATACTCTTAACACACTGGAGCCAGATTACAGCAGTAAGTGGAGAAAGTATCTGCAGCTGAAACAGCACTTTTACATGGCTTATGTAAGTCTTCATCACAGTCAGCTTCAACATGTTATAATTGTGTTTATTAACACAACATTACAGAGTTAACAGTAACAGTAATTAGTGTTTTAAAATATTTGTATTTGTTTCTAATTAATTTTAGTTATTATTGAAACACACATGGTCTGACTGAATAGGTGTTGAGTCCCCTAAATGAACTCATCTTGGCAGTTGCCTCTAATTTTAATTTAAAATGCCAAAGTACAAAGATACTTCCTTTATTATATTTAAGTATCAAAAGTAAAAGTACTGTACATCTTTCATTTCATCTTTCATTCTAATAATTATACTTATGTTGTATTATCTCGATTAACAAATTCTCTTAAGACTTGTGATACTGCAGACATGAAAAGCATAGTTATACAAACAAACTTCTCATTATAAATGTCATTTGGTTTTTTTTGTGTTTTTTTTTTTCATTATTTTTAAATATTTAATATTATATTTGGTTATGTTGCTTTGCATGCTGGTGAAGACCAGATGTCCACCACATAGTGCTTTCCCAGTAACAAACAAAAGTCTGACACAACATAGTGAAAAAGAGCAAGTTCTAGCGTCTGTGTGAGTGCAACAGGTTAAACAAATCAGCCAACTGACCCTACACTAAACCTTGTTTCTGGGTCACAATTGCTACTACTGACAAGCTACTTAGCACACCATGTTACTGAGTTCCCAATGGCAAAGGTAGCAGGTTTAGTCCATGAAATAGTCATTTTGAATGAATGTGACAGTGCTAATTACCTATCACAGGCACACTGCTACCATGGACAGACTCTCCTTGCTAGTGACAAATGTGGAGAGGCCATAAGATCCTTGCAGGAGGCTGAAAAGTGTGAGTACTTATATATTGAAAGAGGAATTTGATAAAAGATCAGAAGTCAGATGAAAAATGCTGTCTTATCAAAATGATTTATATGATTTATAAATCTTAAAAATATAAACAATTTCTGTTTAGATTTGCTTTCTGTCTACACACACAGTGCAAGTACATAACTTTTAAAATTCTGGTTTGTGGAATTAGACAAACACATGCTCTAGGAATAGCTCTTTTTAAGTTTGTAATTTCCTTTGCCCTGCTGCAGGTTACTCACGTGCAGAGGTGCTGTGTAAAGAATACCGTCAGACCAAAGGCCCAGGGAGCACTGCTAAGCCCTCTGAACAGCTTTTCTTTAGGAAACTTGGCAGCCTGATCAAGAACACTCTGGAAAAATGCCAGAGGGAAAATGGCTTCATGTAGGTGTGCATGCAAACATACATCATCATATTGGTATTAGCAGATAATTGCTTAACAAAAACAATTAGCATCAGACCAACATTTGGATTCCATTGATATTTCAAACCAATATTTGATGGTGTATTTATTGTATTTCAGAAGGGCGCAGTGTTTTGGTGATGCTTGGCTACTGCTCTAAAATATTTTTATTCATTTTATTTTATTCATTTTTATTCACTGTATTTGTAGTCATAAAGAAATAGATTTCATATTTCTCCATAATGCTAATCCAGGTAGGTGTAGTGTAAATTTGTACATTTTATAAAACTGTATGTAATGGCATCAATTTTGGGATTACCAGATATGTGCAGTATCAGATTTCAGAATTGTCCCATAGTTTCTCTATCAGTGCATCCCTACAATAAGGCGTACAATAATAACTGATTATTATACCTGTAAATACAACCCCATTTCCAAAAAAAGTTGTGATACTGTGAAAATTTAAACCCTATATTTCATTGAAAATGCTTCGAAGACAACATATCAAATGTTAAAACGGAGAAATTTTATTGTTTTTTGAAAAATATTTGCCCATTTTGAATTTGACGCCAGCAACACATTCCAAAAAAGCAGGGGTAAGAAGGCTGGTAAAGTTGTGTAATGCTTAAAAAAAACACCTGGTGATTAACTGGCAACAGGTCAGTACATTGATTGGGTATAAAATGAGCATCCCAGAGAGGCTGAGTCTTTCAAAAGTAAAGATGAGGAGGAGTTCACCACTGTGTGAAAGATGATCAAATAGTGCAACAATTCAAGAATAACGTTTCTCAACGTAAAATAGCAAAGAAGTTTTGCTCTTCATCATCTACGGTACATAATAACTTTAAAAGATTCAGAGAATCTGGAGAAATCTCTGTTTGCAAGGGACAAGGCCAAAACTAATATTGGCTGGCCGTGATCTTTGGGCCCTCAGGCAGCACTGCATTAAAAATAGACATGATTCTGTAGTGGAAATCACTGCATGGGCTCAGAAAAACTTCAGAGAAACACTGTCTATGAAAACAGTTTGGCGCTGCATCCACAAATGCTAATTAAAACTCTTAAATGCAAAGAAGAGAGCATATATAAACAGGATCAGGAACGCTGCCACCTTCTCTGGGCCTGAGAGGACTAAAGACCACTCAGCTTGTTATCAGTGCTCAGTTCAAAAGCCAGTATTCATGATGGTATGGGGGAGCATTAGTGTACATGGCATGAGTGACTGGCACATCTGTGAAGGCACCATTAATGCTAAATGATATATACATGTTTTGGCAACGTATGCTGCCATCCAGATGACGTCTTTTTCAGGGAAGGCCCTGCTTATTTCAGCAAGACAATGTCAAACCACAATCTACACGTTTTAAAACAGCATGGCTCTGTATTAAAAGAGTCCGGGCGCTAAACTGGCCTGCCTGCAGTCCAGAGCTGTCACCACTGAAAACATTTGGCACATTATGAAATGAAAAATATGGCATAGGAGACCCTGAACTGTTAAGCAGCTGAAATCCTATATTAAGTAAAAATGGGAAAACATTTCACATTCAAAACTACAGCAGTTGGTCTCCTCAGTTCCCAGACGCTTACAGAGTGTAGTTGAAAGAAGAGGGGATGAAACACAGTGGTAAACATGCCCCCATCCCAACTTTTTTGGAACGTGTTATTGGCATCAAATTCAAAATGGGCGTATTTTATTGTTTTTTTTGAAAAATATTTCTCAGTTTCAACATTTGATATGTTGTCTTTGTAGTATTCCACAGGTAATGTCATGGACAAAGAGAAAAGCGATAAAACTGAACCTTGTGGAACTGGTTTAACAAGAATTGTTAATGTTTTAGATTAATGATTTCTTAGTGACACCAAGATCTGTCCATCCATCAAATATGATTTAAAAAATTCTAAAGCTGTGGCTAAGAGGCCTACCCAGTTTTGAAGATGGTGGATTAGAGTCTATTAACACTATTTATTCAGGTCTTTAGCATCTCTAAAAGTCATCTCCCTTTGCAGATGGATACACCACTGCCATTAAGAGAAACAATCCTTCAGACACGTTGCTCCACTTTTATCATTAGGCTTCATGTGTGCCAGTATTAATGCATAGCATTATGGTTGCTCAGACTCAAACAACAAGGGCCATCATTCATTGGATGAAGCAAGATATTTCTAGTCTTAATTTTTTTCAATTAAACGTATCAGCTGCAGTGCTTTATTTGTGTCTGCATGTGATAGTTGTACATTCTTTTAAACATCTGGCATCTTTCAGTATTGTAGTGGACTGTGAGATCACTGACTGTAGACTATCTGCTGACTGGCCTCTTTTGACATCTTTTAATGAGCCTTTTTTGCCTTTAAACATAGGGTTACTTTTGGGAAGCACCCTAAAAAAAATATTTTTCATTGCTGACCTGTCACTGACTGGATGTATTTGCGGTGGCAAACTGCCATTACAGATACACACAGAACATTGTTGAGCTGAAAAAAATATATAGATATATAAATAAATAAATAACAGTCACATTGCAGTACTAGATATATTCAGATCAGCAAGCTTGGCAACATCTGCAAAGCATTTCCCCTTACATGCGCAATCTATGTCTCAAAGCATAAAAATATTGATAATTTGTTAAGGTTTTTCAAATGAGCAAGTGTCCTTATTACTTTATACACTCAGTGAGTGCCTTGTTCCTATTATTTTGTTAATTAAAAAAAACAGTGTATAGTTTATTTGAAGCTGCACTTCATAAGATTTCTTTGTTCTACAGATACTTCCATAAGGTGCCTGCAGAAGCTCCTGTTTTGGAGCTGAAGGCAAGTTACGGCTTGGCTGAGCCCATTACCTTTGACCTCCCTGCTCTCAGTGACCACTGCACTCCTGAGGTCTATGCCACATTTGATCTCACTAGAGGACTGAAAGATGACCAGGTATAACATCAGGAGTTTTAATCTTAATTTTTTTTATATTATAAAGACATTCAGCATCTGGGACTGATTAGAAATTTGCATTACATGCAGATTTGTTTATGTTGAAATGAGATCTAGATCTTTTGAGTCAATGTAAAATGCATTTGTTGCTCCTAGGCAAAAGCGAAACCCAAGCAAGAGGAGGACATTAAACCCGTGAAGGAACCTGATCTCAAGCCTCAGAAAGACACTGGCTGTGTGATATCTTAGGCATTTTTAGGAACTATCCACCAAGTACTAGAATGGGAGTCTAGATCCTTTTCCTTCTCATTAAATCTCAAAATGATTAATCTTTTCTCATCCCAGGCCCAGTATCTATACTGATATAAGATCTAAAAAAGTGGGAAGCAATACATTGCAATACCCTTGTTACTGTAATGTTTTTTGGAATATTTTGCGAAGTCAGTAATTTATGTGAATAACGTTTCACTGTAGTCTTGTTCTTCCATACTGCTGAAACAGTAAATTTAGTTTAACATGAAGATGTTTTTTGAGATTGAGGAGGGGACAAGAGAATTTGAGGTTGTTAATGTTCAAATTAATTCAGTTACTTTAACTGACTCACCATACTTGAATTATATTGTATGTTTAATTGATTTAGAAGTTACTCTCATAATTTAACTTATACTTAAATATTTTATTCAAATACAAGTACTAGAGTAGAGCATTTCACTGCTCTTGCCACCTCTGCTAAAAATACAGCTGGCCGTGTGTAAGACTAATTTTGGGGATCTCTAGATGATTTTTTTGGGCAATAATGTGGCACTTAGGTTCCTAATCTATAGGGCAACTTATATCTAAATTGAAACCATATAGAGCTAGTTTCTTGGACATGGATTAAACCCAGACTATAAAGAGCAATGCTTGTGGTGGTTTGCCTTTAAACATTCTACAGTCTTGTCTTAGGCTTAATCTGGGTCTAGGAAATCATTAATAGTCATATTAATTTTAAGTGAAGTAATCTATGTTTTATTATTCAGAGTCAGTCAAACAAAACATAGTATGATGTGCAAAACATGTAGTAGGTAATTCTATTCATTTTAACATTAATTTTAACATTTGACATATGAAAAAATAAGATTTACTCTCAGCAGTGGAACAAAGACAGGTACATGTCCTCATCTAGGTTAATATGCACAGTGGAGCAATGACCAGTTCAAATTTGATACCCACATAAGTGTCCTTTTAGAAAAAAAAAAGCCCTTGGTCACTTGTTCTTTTACTGGCTCCAAAGACTGAACGTGTCACAGTTTTGGTTGCATGTAATGTTCACAGCAAAGTTGTGAAGTGCCATTATACCTATACTAGATGTCACTAGATACAAGAAGGTAAAACTTGACCCCCCCCCTCCAAGATGTTTTTTTGTGACATTAGGCATGCAGTGAGGATTACAATGATAATGCTGTACATATATTAGACACAATATAATGTCTCAATATCAGTCTTGGTGAAATACATTCAGCGCTTGAAGTTTTTTTTCCTTTTACCTGAGCTTCTTTTGCTATGTTTCTGTTTTCTAACTGGGCTGAATTTGTAATTGTTAATAGTCTGTAAGCAAATTTCACATTCCGGGGAACCAGTATGGCTCATTTACAAGAGGTGATGCTCTGCTATAAGTACAAAATACACAGTGGATTGTCTACTCCATATGTTATTATACATTTTCATATATCCATAGATCTGTCTGATACTGAATGCATTCATATACACAATTATGCACAGACACACATGTAAAATGTTCTATCCATTATTTCACATTTTAAAGTGTGAACATCAGGTTAGCTTGCACTAGTACCAAATATGACAGGCACAGAGATTATAGACACGTTCAATACATACATTTTAGTTACAATACAACAGTTTAGTTATAATACTGATTTCATACTGAACTGTTTTTAACTTTTGTTTTTAATTTCCTTTTAATTATATATGTTAATAATTATTTACAGTTCTGTAGAGGGGAAGATCTCATTTGCCTAAATTCACATTTTTTTACATTAGCTAGTCAATATCTAGATATGGTAATCTCCAGAATATGTACTTGCAGACTGCTGTGACTTACTGTCATATATTTAATGCCTTTGTCCATTAAAATGTTCAAATAGCTATTTTGCAGCTTTGACATGTACTGTATTTCCCAATATTTTCTGCTTCTCCCTGAAGATTTTTTGCTGTATGAAAAAACAAGCATATCGCTGTCATGTCGCTGTCGGAAGAAAACCTTGTATCTCCAAAATGGCAACTTTACAGGAAAAGGAAAAAACCTACTTTACTTTTAATGCAAGTCAATGGAACCCGACATTTGTCCAAGTCATTTTTGGCCGTTTCTTTTGGTCCATTAATCATGAAATTTACATACAATGTAAAGAGCAACAGGCATTTTCAAATTATGTGAAAAAACAATGCTTGATCATCCAGAACTGCAGAATAGCCATGCTTACTTTAAAATACCCTGATGTTGCACATTGTCTCTGATGAGAAAACTTTACAGTCTACACCAAGAGTGCCCAAACTTTTTGTCTTGGAGGCAAAAATACAATGTTTGTGGTTGGAAGAGGGCCAAAATGACAAAATAGTACACGATAAGGAATTAGAAAAGAAGTTTCAATTTGAGCTTTTAACATGTGTTTTATAACATCACATACTATTTTGTTACTAAAATACTTAAAATTTGAATTTTAAAATGACTATGAATTTAAACATTATACTGTATATTATTTACAATATGTTTGTTCTCTCATTGGGTGAGGAGATGGGGTTAGGGTAAGTTTCTGGAGGGCCAGATGAAAGGTCCTCATGGGCCACCTTGATAACCAGCTCAGCAAATTATTGGGTTACTATAGCTGCCCCAAAGAAGCATCATTAACTGTACCTTTGTGTTTCAATGTCAGATTCACAGCAAAGTAGCTTAGTAGCCTGGGTCCTTCAACTTGATCTTAGGTAATGCTTAATTAAGGGTGGTATACTATGGGTTGGTTTCCCAGACAGAGATTAGGCCTATAGTCCTGGAATACATTTTTCTTTCAATGAAGAATCTTCTTTTAAAATGCTGTGTAGTCCAGGCTTAAACACTTGTCTGTGAAACCAACTCTATATGTCAAAGTATCCAGACAACCCTTCTAATTAATCAATTCAGTTAATTTAAGAGGACAGAGACATTTAGTTCAGTACACACAGCTTGTAAAATCCCCATTGAAAAGCATTACCAATAGAATAGGATGCCCTGGAGCAGCTGACAAGGTCACCATGCCAAGCCTTCTCACATGTGTACATGTCACTACAGTACAAGGGTGGGGCAAACTCCCTATATATAACTTTCATTTTGCAAGAAACGTACAATGAACAGAAGTCTATAAACTTTTGTACATCCAGACAGTTAAAAATATCATTATTGAATAACATGATATTAAATACTTTTATATATCGTTTGGCAATGCAGTTCAGTCTAATACAAGGCTTAAACCTTGTGTAGAAAACTGACCCATAGCATACAAATGTATATCATGATATTTAAAACTGGATGTTGCAATATGTTTATTATTGTTGCTATTAATATTATTCGGGTATTACAACTCACATATGGCCTCTCTGGTCATGTCAAGGGTTTCCTTTAAAAAAAATAAATAAATAAATAAAGACTTCATATAGAATTTCAAAGATGTGCTCCACATATTTTTTAGTTATGAATTTTTGTCTTAAATATTGATGAAACATGAACTGGGTATAAATACTATAAATAATATTTAATATTTTGAAATGAACTGGTTTCATGTTAATAAATACTTGCAAGAAGTAAATTTTTCTGTGAATGTAATTTTTATGTCAGTTTGTGCAGTATTTTGTCTTTGAAATTTAGTTTGTTAGTTTTAATTTTTTTTTTGTAAAATTTACATTTTATATACTAATCCAACATTTTTAGTAAATTATTAATTTCTGCAGGTAATAATTGATTTATAAGGTTTATAGGTTTATAAGGCTAACTAAACAGGTCACATGACAGACAAAACAGGTGCAGATAATCAGTATTAGGCAAGGCAGATGGATGACAAGTTGTGTGTGGTGGAGACAGAATCACATGGTCTTCCAAGGGATTCTGGGAAATGGAGTCCATGCTGGAGGACTGCGTGACAATATTTAATTCATTCAGAGTCATTGTAGTTGCTACAAACTATTTGGAAGCTCTAGGTGTGGCACGGATTTACCCTAATTTTATTTTAAAATAAAGCCCAAGTTTCAACTGTGTTATCCTTTTGGTCAAGAATTATTCAATCTTTTTAAGTGGGGGTTGGGTTTGGGGTTGTGTTGTTTACCGTTTATGGGTTTCTTACAGCATCCATGACATACTGGTGCACCTCCCATGCATAATACAAGTCATTTTGTTGGAAAAATTTGTAGTGTACTACCCAAGAGGAAAGCACTCATTGTAATAAAAATGAACAGCAACCTCAAGAAGGTAAGCAGTTAACAAATTCAGTTGATTTTCAGTTCTCCATGTATCTTTGTGTGGTGTTACGTGCTTTATGTGGTGCTAGAACATATTCAGTTGATACTTGTACACCTGGTAACTTATTTACACAACCACACACTTCTATGTAAAGACCAGCCCTTTGTAAATAGACAAGCTCTCCAGGCAGTGGTGAAGAACAAGGCAGCGTTAACAGTATATTTCTTAATAGCTTCTACTTTATGAAATGAAAAAGGAACGACATTTTATTGCACTTACTATACTGTGTCAGGATAATATTTCAAAGCAAGAATTTGATGGCTCTGTATTAAGGGATTACATATCACATTCGCAAACTTGTTGTTAAGGAAATGGAATTAGGCAGTACGGATCAGTCTCAGCAGAGAAAAGTCATCCATTTTTCTAGTGGAGAGACCCTGGAGGAGGATGACAGTGAAGAAGAGACAGCTGAAGAACCACATCAATGTCCCTTTAATAAGGCTGGCGGGGTCAGTATTAAACGGGAAAAAAAATTCTTTGCTTGTAAAACACTAGTTTATTATCCAAAATGAATTAGTTACACATATGTATGTTGCCTTACATCAGGACAATCTGTCATGGAGACGGTATGCTTGGTTTTGGGGAACACAAGTCATGATAAAGTCATTGCAAAGTAAGTATGACTCTTTGGTTTGATATAGAATTGTTATTAGATATATGAACTTTGCAAGATAAATGCCACTATTTTATATATACAATACCCTATCTTAACAAGATTGTATTTTCATAGTATTTTATTTTTCATTAAGTAACACTATGTGAAGCTTTATCAATTTTCATTTGCCAACAGCTTGCGATTTTGTTGGGGGGAAATTAGCTAGCTTACTTGGATTAACTCTTGCAAAATACCAGTATGCTATTGATGAGTATCAGCTTGTTCAAAAGGTAAGACATTTACTTATCTATTGGTAACAACGTGCTGACAAACACTGCACCCTCCTTTTTGTTTTTAACATGTCCTCCTTACCTTGTCCTCGCCCTTTTCCTCTTTCCCCAGTGTCATTTAAAGGGCCATTCCACTACTTTATAAGATCAAGTGAAGCTTGTTAGATGACCCCTGGGAGAGGTGAGGGATTAAGTTAGCATAAATGTACACTTAAACTGTAAACCCACCCTTGTAATCTGACAAAACTACCTTTTCAAACCCCCTATAATTGCAGACCAAAAGCCCATTTAGAAATTATTTAGTTTACATAGGGTCCTGGGGTAATTTCTTCTTTTACAGGTGCTCTATTGTGATTTTATGTCCACATACCATTATTTTCTTCCTTCCCACCCAAAAAAAAAATGAATTACCTACCTCTTTTTCATTAAACTTAGCAGTCATCTAATAAATGTACTCTCATCCAGATACAAATCTGTGATTTCTCCATTCAGATTTTGCATTGGAAAAATTTGTTTTTTTGTCCGTCTGGAACTTTTGCATATGTATCTTATATACATATTGTTTATATTAAACAATCCATTGTATCATGTCATTCAAAAGACAAAATTCTTGTTACTTCGTAAATGACCAAAACAATTTTGTGATGCAACCAATTTTTGATTTTTTTTTTTATAGACGTCGCTCTTATGAACTAATCCAATTCTAATAGGGCTAAAACTGTTTTTAAAATCAACCTTAAATCTAAATGTAACAAATCTTCTGAGTTTTAATTACATCACTGTGCACTAGCAGACAGGTAAATATTGGCTGCATTGACTTAATGCGGCCATGCGCAACAAAATTTTGGCCTACTTTCTCTGGGGCTTCTGGCAGCTCATTTTTTACATATGGCCACCATACACCATAGTTTTTATTTCCAGCATATATTTCAATATACTTTGATTTCATCTGCAACAAAAAGAGAAACGCCGCGAGATCAGCCATTTTTGTGAGCTCATGCCAATGAAGGTAAAATGTGTCTTAACAGCAGTGTTTTCATACCCCTCCTCTACAGTCAGTTCATGTTGACCATCAAGTCAGGCTAGGTTGAAAATGAACTCAGCCATTGGCTGCAATCCACTTAATGCAGCCTTGCGTAGCGCCGACTTAACATGATGCATGCTGGTTAGTAATTTTGAGCAACTGCAGAACATCACCATGTGATGTTACATTAATGTGAAACTTCTGAAAATATGCATTGCATGGGTAAATGTGAAGTATCTTGAGACGGGTTTCTTTTACATTATTGTGTTAACAGCTTGCCAGATTTTATCCATTGGTAACCAAGTAAAATCTTATTTTCATTGAAGAAATCCATTAGGAGGAGAGCTCTAAATAACAGTCAATGCCTTTCTAATATGCATGCAACTTCGATTTAAAAGATCAATACTTTCATTTTTGAGTTTTGAGACTTCACCTGGTAATGAAAGATATTTACATTGGGCCTTGATGAGATAAAGTAATTTAGGTGATATGCTCCTACAAACAGCCCTGTGATGGACTGGCGACCTGTCCAGTGTGTTTCCTGACTTCCGCCCAATGACTGCTGGTATAGGCTCCAGTTCTCCAGCAGAAGGATAAGCAGCTTAGAAAATGTGTTTGTGTATGTGCGTGCTCCTACAAACAGTATTATAATCTTTCTGTGTTACATACCATCTCAAGATACTTACTAGCTCCTCATATTGATACAGTTCACTGTTTATATTGGGTCATTAGGCTCCAGCTCCAGCTCCCCCAGGACTCAGAAGGATAAGCAGCTTAGAAAGAGTGTGAGTGAGAGTGTGAGCGTGGTGAATGTGGTGGTGGTGTATTAGTGTGTGTTGCGCTGGTCTGAGTGGATCAGACACAGCAGTGCTGCTGGAGTTTTTAAACACTATGTCCACTCACTGTCCCATCTATTAGACACTCCTACCTTGTCAGTCCACCTTGTAGATGTAAAGTCAGAGACGATAGCTCATCTGCTGCTGCACAGTTTGTGTTGGTCATCCTCTAGTCCTTCATCAGTTGTCACAGAACGCTGCCCACTGGATGCTGTTGGCTGGGTATTTTTGGTTGGTGGACTATTCTCAGTCCAGCAGTGACACAGCACCACCATGTCAGTGTCACCGCAGTGATGAGAATGGTCCATCACCCAAATAGTACCTGCTCTGTCAGGGTTCATGGGGGTCCTGACCACTGAAGAACAGAGTAAAAGGGGGCTAACAAAGTATACAGAGAAACATATGGACTACAGTCTGTAATTGTAGAACTACAAAGTGCACCTATATAGTAAGTGGAGCTGATAAAATGGACAATGAGCATAGAAACAAGGATCATAATGTTATGCCTGATCAGTGTATATTCAAATGTAAATCAGGGAGTTTATTGGGGGTCCAAGCACCTTTAGATGCATGGAACCCTATTGTTTTTGCTCAGGTCTTTCTTCTTTTTCTTTTCTGCCTTAAAACTGATTGAAGAGAAGACATTGTAAGTATAGAGTAATTATGAGTAATTATGGTCTTTTTCTTCATAACAAGCATAAAAAATCGCTAATAGTATGCTAATGTCTCGGGGGTTAGCTAGCTAACTTTCCCGTTCCACCTTAAATAGTCCAGCAGTATTGATGCTTGTAGCGCCAGAATGTAACTGCTGCACCATTTAAGGTGGAACAGGAAAATTCGAACAAGAACAACACTTCAGCTTCGTATCAGCAAAGAATTAGCGGTGGGTGATAATAAATTATTGTCTTATACCCCCTCTTTGAAAGCATTTGAAGCGCCAAATATAACTAAAGTCCAGCAGTGAGGTTGCTTTTCTCTTCTCTGCTATCACTGAAGACGGGCCGGGTCGCCTACAGAGCACCGCTACTAGGCTATCAATGAAACAATGTTTTATTTTGTTTTTTGTTTTTTTTTGTTTTTTAATTTGAGGGTTGGTCAAGATTTCAACCACTACCACTTGTAATTCAGTTCCAAAGGGTGGACACTCGAAAACAAGGGGTAGGGGTAAAAAGAAGAAATGGACTCATTCGGAAGCACCCACTAGCATTTGACAAACCTGGAAGACATTACAAAGTGGTAATTCTCCTTTTTACAAATTCTCTCTTCTACAACATGGCTTCGTGATGTCAGAACATCAATCTGGTTGGCTGGAATCTCCAATGACAAACATGGATTGTGTCTCGCATAAGCTACTTTTTTCATTCTAAGAACTTCAGTTCCATTATCTCCTATGGTTATCTTTCCCAAAGGATTTCCTCCCCACACTATAATTTTTATTTCCGGTATTTATTTCAAACACTTTGAACTGTCTGCAACAAAAAAGGGAAACGCCACAAGATTAGCCATTATTGTGAGCTCATACTAAGCAAAGTAGAATGTTTGACTTGACGGCAGTGGTTTTATACCCCACCCCTACAGTCATTGGCAGTTCACGTTGACCATCAAGTCAGGCTAAGTCAAAAACGCAGCCAATGGCTAGCTTAGAGACCCTCCCTAATACCTCATTTCACCTTGAAACATCACGGTAGGGAAGGACAATGCATAGTGTATAAGTATGTGGGAAAAAAGGTGTTATTATTTACACTTAATTTCGACTTTAAGCCAGAGAAATAAAATATATACAAATTAAAATACCTGTAAACAGGCTAGTCCACTTAATATTACTAATAACTAACAATGTTCAGTCTGCCTTATACAACAAACTTATCCATCTGTTGATTTAATTACATTACTCTGCTGGCTTGCTATTTAGCAGGCAAATAGCTATACAGATAGAAACAACACAAAAAGAAGGGCAGTATACTATAGTGCCCATTCTAAACCTGAAGCATGTGCCAGACAAAGCAGGTAACTTATTCTATGAGGACAGCCAAGTCGAGGGTAAGTCCATTTCAATTGAAAAATCTGCTCCTCATTGTCTCCTCTGTTCTTTGCGCTGTGGCCAAGTGTAAATGCTCTGCATTTCTGGGCGAGGACATTTTAATATCTGTATTAAAGTGGAGGGGCAGTGAAGAGTCACTTTAATGAGGATATTTCTCAAATGAATATGCCCTACTGATTTTCTTTCATCTACTTAGCATAAAATGGAGAGAGAAGAAACACTTCTGTCTCATACAGAGACCAGTGCATATGGAACCACACTGAAGACAACTTCTAAAGAATGACAAACAAGTTCAAAGAGTAATGCATAAGAAATGACTAATGAAACATGTTGTCCATCTTGGAATCTGACATTAGACCTTTGTTGATTTTGTCTATTGAAAGATTATACATTTTTGGAATTATGAATTTGTAGTCTTTATTTTCATAAATTCTTATTTTTAGGCTTTTAACTGACTGGCACCTGGACCATCCACTCTATAAAACAGGGAACTGCAACAATGATTTCACTTTACTATCCTGTACTGGTATGATTCCATAAATCAAATATTATCAAACTCTGAGTAACCTATAGCGGTAGTATAAAAGCAAAGCAAAGTAAAAATGCAAGATCACTGACATCTGTTAAAATGTAATGCTTTTATAAACAATGTCATCATTCTTATAAGACAATGAACAAAATTTAAAATAAAATATTTCTTTCTGATCACTTCTTCTTACTGTTGAGTTTGTTTTTAATTAGTTAGTTGCTGTTTTGGAGCACGGGTTAATGTTTTCCACAAATGCATCCACTGCTGTAACTCAGTGGTTACCAACTCTGGTCCTGGAGCACCTCTGCCCTGCACATTTTTGTTTCCCCAGGGGAAACACTAAAGAGCACAGAACAGGGGCTATTGCAGGACCAAGGCTGGGAACCTGTGCTCTACCTAGGCTGTTTAGAGAGAGATCACATTAATCTTTTTAACTTTTTTTGACACCATTTTTCAGTGCTTACTTGCCCTACAGCGCCACAAAAGGGACATTCACTGCACATAACCATTTCATAATACAGCCTGCATAAAAGTCTGTTACATATGTTCTCCTCCCCAATTATAAACGTTGCCCAAGTCATTTTGTTTTTTAACACTACAGGGTAGGAACAAGCACATAAAGTTACAATCCACATTATGAAATTGTATCTTTTCCTGTTTTCTCGACCAACAATGAACTAAGGCACATAAAACACAGGCATGTAACAACAACAAAAAAACAAACAGCAAACAACCAAAATGGAACGGGGCCTGCAACACCTTGCCTGTGCAAGGCAATACAGGCTCTGTTGAGCCAGAATACAGTCCCATGTCTCCCACTGCAGTACTCTGTCCAGCCCCAACCACTGTTGCAGGAGCCCTTTGAGCCGGTGGTGCGTTGAGGAGAAGGCAGGCCAGGGGAGAATGAGATAGAGGGGAGAGAACAGAAGATGAGGGCAGTGGCAAGGTATAAGGTTTCAGTCAGTCATGATGAGCCACCTGTGACCATTTCCACATGTCCAGAGGGCTGGTGACGCAGTACGTCCAGCGCCTGCCTGACCTGATAGGGGCCTCTCTAATGTGACACCAGCTTTGTACGACTCTTAGTGGAGTTATTTAGCCACATTGAAGCTCTCACCTCATAGTGCATCGTGGTGAACATCCTTGTCTTCTGCTTTTCATGAGCCTCTGCAGAGTTCAAGCTCTCTCCAGTCATTCCACCAAGGATTACACGAAAGCTGTAAGCAAAAGCTATTTGCTTCACAAAGCTGTCCCATTCACCCCCATAAGAGATCAACATCTTGGGAAGTTGGTCGATCAAAGTTCTGTTGTGATGCCCCACCATACCATCCAATTTAAGACTATAGGCTGTGGTACATGCTTTCTTTATCCCCAGAAGACAGCATAGGCCCTGGATCACCTCCGGCTCAAACTGACTGCCCTGGTCACTATGTAACGCCTAAGGGATACCATGTAACAGCAGATAGTCTTTAAATAGGCACTGGGCCTTAATATGTATTGCAAAATGTACTGCAATCACAATATGCAGCGGTATAAAGTGATAATGAGATGATTACTTGTTCTATTTGAGTGTGTTGGAGAGACAGAGATTTATTCTCTTGTTGACTGACACAAATTAAATTTTTGGAAATGCAACCCTCCAACCCTAAACCTGGTAATGGAGTGTCACATCTGAATGTCACCTCTAATGTACAAACAGCCAGCAAACTACAGACAGAGGATCAGCAGAACAGTCAACACCAAGCACACACTGAGTTGCTGCTGACACGGAGACCTTTCATTGTAATTTATTGCTTAAACCGACCTTGGATCTCTGCTGCTACATGAGAACATGACATCCTACTAGATAAAGCTCTGCTGCTCTAACTTGATTAAACTGATTTGCTTCCCACCGACACTACACTACACTAAAAGTAAGGCTGCATTATTATGCAAATGCAAACTTATTATTCTGAGCAATGCTGTATTTATAATTAGGACCTCTGACAAACATTATACATGTTCCTGTTGCCTGAAAGTCTTTCTTACATCAAACATTTAATAAGTGCATCTAAAACTATTCTCCAGCTTGTTTGAACACTCTTTTGTCTTTTGGCCTAGCAACACCTTAGGAACCACATGGGATACCACAGCAATGGCCTAGCAACATCTTAGTAACCACCTAGAATACCATAGCAATGGCCTACCAACAACTTCACAACCGCTTGGCATAACAAATCAACACCTGAGCAACGACCTGGGATAACAACAACAACCTAGGAACATCTTAGCAACCACCTGGAATAATATAGCAAAACCTTAATGTAGCGCCCCAGCTAGGTACCCAGTAGATAGGTGGTTAGTCAAAGGATTAAATACATCTGGGGGAACCTGGGTTACTCAGTTAATTATAAATTTGGTTAGGCTTATGTGACTGACAAATGTATCTGACAGAACTTCAAGTTAGCACTATACACTCAGTATGAACATGAAATGCAATTATAGTACTAACAAATAACTTCTGAATATGCAAAAGACAGAACATGTCCAACACTGTAGATTTTAGTTTAAAATATTTGTATTGGCAAAGCCTGAACAAATAAAACAAAACAAAAAGGGCCCCCACACACTCTCTCACGCACAGCTCACTCTAAGTAGAGACTCTACCAGTTAAACGAACCAGTTCTCTACCCCCCTCCTGGCAGGCCTGATATGTGGCTCGGGTGCGCAGTGGCCGAGAAAAAAATAATGCAATTGGCCTCTTCACTCCGAAGAGCAATAAACAAAACGAAAGTTACCTCTGCGGGAGTGGCTCTGTCTCTCTACCGTACCTCTCTCTCTCCCTCGCTCCCTCTCTCTGCAGCGGTGGAACGGAGCACCGTAGTTGAGCAGCCAGACACACAGGGCAGTGAACATCTGTACTCCAACATAGCCAGTGGAAACTGAGGCTTTGCCGGTCACCCCAGTCGCTAACTGCAAAGTCTGTAATCTGGGAGACTTAGAATTGCAGCGATAATACACACACTATAGGAGAATTACACTTAATGAGCTAGTTAACGTAATAATACAAGGATTATGGAGCTAGGGTGCACTTTAGCAGCCTGAGTTAGCCTACTACAGCTTGACTTATGAACAATACAACGGGCGATACTTTGAGCAGCAGAGTTAGCCTACTGATCTAAGCTCTTACTTCAACATTCGACTAACTGCGTGACAAACTTCTACACAGGCTCTCTATTTGCCAACCCTGTGCTGGAATGTACTCACAGAACGTTCAGACAGTTATTCACTCGAACATAGTAAACTTTAGGTTGCACAAATGAGCTATGAGGACCATATAGTTGACTCCGTCTCCCTGCTCTTTTCCCTGCTCCTTATTTTGTGTTCTCTTCTCTTTTTTTCTCCTCCTTTCCTTCCTGAAGATTTCCCATGAACTTATCCCAACCTAATCACTATTCCACAATGTACAATGGTCATGACCTGAACACTGGATTTCCCAGGCTGTTCATAAGTGAGCCGTATCACTGGTTTCACTTTCCTTTTTGCATGGGCCTTGACGCTGGCATCACTGGTACTATGCAGTGTCTCCTTAGCAACCAGCGTGTTATCTTGTCCCACATCTTCTTGAGCACCATACTCTTGTGGCAATTCGACAGGTTCCTCCCCATCATCTTGCATCTCCACCACAATTTCACTTTCAATACAGTCATTCTTCTCTGTCTCCTCTTGATGGATCTCTCTGCTCTCAGGACTCTCAAACAAACTGGACTCTCTTTCTGTAGGTTCGTCGAGTTGGGAAGTTCCGTCACTTGTCTAATCTCTCAAAAGAGTATACTGTATGTCCGTATCCTCATCCGATTAATCTGTTTGAGATTCTGCATGGTGCTGGCCCTCCTCGGCAGCATCGTCCATATGCAACTGCATGACCGGTCTTGCTTGCTTACGACGAGTCTGGAGTCTTTGAGACACAGGCACTGTACCAGTGGAAGATGGCATACGCACCCATTCTCCAATTGCCAAGAGGTGGTCCCTATGAAGAGTCCTCACACCACCCAGACCACTTTCTGGCTTCACTCTGTATACAGGTAAATCAGAGATTCTCCCCATTACTACATAGGGCAGTGAATTCCACCGACTTTGCAGCTTGTGTTTGGCGGGCAATCCAAGATTTTTAACTAGTACCCTGTCACCTTCTTTCAAGACTTGATGACGGATGAGCCTATCATAAGCCACTTCATTTTGCTTGTGTCTGTGGTCAGCTGCCCGCGAAGCTAACTGATAAGCCTTTTGCAGATCACGTTTCAGCCGGTTAACATACTGTCTGTACAGCCCTTTCCGCCAGTCCATTAGACAAAGCATGGTAAGGAGCTGTTGTGACATGGTTAATGCCATTTTGTCTCATAAACTCTGCAAATTCACTACTAGTGAAGCATGTCCCATTATCAGTTACTAGCATCTCAGGAATACTGTGCTGACTGAAACTCTTCATTGGCCATTCCCAGGGATGGAGGGGCACTACTGCTGGGCGCAGTCTGTCTTCTTGACACACAGGACAAGCCCTCACCAAAGCTTCAATATCACCATCTAGCTTTGGCCACCAGAGGTAGCTGCACGCCAGTGCTTTCATTCGCGTTATACCGGGATGTGACTGATGTAATTGTTTCAACACTGCTTCTCTACCTGCTGGTGGAACAATGACTCTAGAACCCCATAATACACACCCCTCACTGGTACTGAGTTGTTCCCGACGGTGTACATATGGCACTAAGTTAGGGTCAGTTATCTTTGTTGGCCAACCCCTCACTACATACTCGCGTACCAAGGCCATTACCTTGTCTCTGTCTGTCCATTTCTGTAACTGTCTGGCTGTCACCAAAGGTGTATCCATATGATCTAATAACAATACTCTCTCTACATCCCTCGGGGGTTCCTCTGTCACTTTTAGCGGGAGTCTGCTGAGGGCATCTGCGTTGCTGTGATCCTTGCCTGCTTTATATACAATCGTATATTCGTAGACTCGCAAAGTAACTGCCCAACATTGGATCCTTGGTGAGGCCATCTGAGGCACTCCTTTTAGCTCATTGAATAAGGCAAGGAGTGGCTTGTGATCTGTGATTATTGTGAACTTTCTCCCATACAGATAGCTGTGAAATTTTTTACACCGAAGACCACAGCTA